GTGGCTGGGACTGCGTTGCGTGGCTGGGTCTGCGCTGCGTGGCTGGGTCTGCGCTGCGTGGCTGGGTCTGCGTTGCGTGGCTGGGTCTGCGCCGCGTGGCTGGGCCTGCGCTGCGTGGCTGGGTCTGCGCTGCGTGGTTGGGTCTGCGTTGCGTGGCTGGGTCTGCGTTGCGTGGCTGGGTCTGCGCCGCGTGGCTGGGTCTGCGCTGCGTGGCTGGGTCTGCGCTGCGTGGCTGGGTCCATCTGCTGAAAGTGACCTTTTTTGGGTAGGTGGGCGCCCTTCTTCTATCAATATTCTTCCATACTTGGATTCGCCTAACAGCGTGTTTGTCGTAGTACTTATAATTTTGATTTTCAAATTCAAAGCGAGAAAGGCTCTTAATTTTGATTTTCAAGTCGAACAAAAAAACAGGTAAGTCAGAAAATCAGATGTGCAAGAACATACTCCTAAGTCCTGAACTTGCTGGACCATCTTTTACTCTTTTAGTACTAGCGGAGTAGAAACAAGCAGTATGTTGTATTTAGAACTCAATTGTATTGCCGGTGATGATGAATAATCACTAGAGATGCACACAGGACATGTATGGCTCAATACATTTGTTCATGTTCTTTCAACACACTCAAAGAAGTGCAATTTGAAATACAAGAACTAGTAAAGTGTTGTTCACGAAGACGACAATTTGATCGTATTATTCACGAGAACGACACTCACAGCAAAAAGATACCTCTCGTCGTCGTCAAGCATCAGCGAAGGTCCTCCCTCTTAAAAAGTTGTGCTCTGCTCGATCCGTTGCTTCTCCGTCAGGAAGAAAGCAAAATGAGCGATGCGGAGCATCAGGTTGGTCTTATCTCTAGTGACGGCATGAGTGGCGCGGAGCATCAGGTTGGTCTTATCTCTAGTGACGGCATGAGTGGCGCGGAAAATCACGGTGGCCTTATCTCTGGTGACGGCATGGGTGGCGCGGAACGTCAGGGTGCTCTCATCTCTGGTGATGGCATGAGGGGCGCGAAACACCATGCTGGCCTTAACCTTGTCTCGGATGACGGCCCGCGTGAGCGGAACGCCTCAACCAAGAGTGCGGAAGAGATGCCTCTGCTAGATACTTCGTCGACAAGTTCACGGGCCGCATTTTCGATCTCTCTTAAGGCCACAGCACTTTCTTCTTCGTCATCTCGTCAGTCATATACATATTTCGAGGCGACGCCTATTTTACGCGTTATAATCACGTGACTAATTATTCTCTGGCGTTCCAAAGCGTCCACACCTTCAGAGGCACATAAGTAGATAGATAGCGAATCGCACTGGAAATGATCATGATGACCGAAGAAAAACACATAGTTTATTTAGGAACATCTCCCTTCCATCCTCCTGATGCTGAACTTGATTCTGCCAGACCTCCACGTGGGGATCCTGGCACTTAAACCTCCGCATGGCTATGCCACTACTGCTTGTTGAGGATGATCAATTACTGATTTTTCTCAACGTGCTCAACAAGAATGTAAAAGTCAATGCTTTATTCTCTTTGGATAAAAATGTCACTTTTCTAATACTGCACCTCCTGTCCGGAAACGGGACACGGCACAGAGCCCGGGTCAAAAGCCCCTAGAGAGAGTGTCTCGTGGGTGTCGCTGGCTTCTTTTTGCTGCTAGCTTTCTGCTTGGTATGGCTTATTGAGTCAACACGTGACTATACTGACAACGCTTCTGCTCTTTCACTCAGTAACTCACCTGTTACAACCATGCGATCGTTGTGAAAGACGAATCAATGCAATAGAAAATTATGATTAAGATTTTTTTTGCATGGATATGGAAGATGCGTGCTATATTAAATGGTTAGCCTACTTTCTCGATGGTGAGCCAACATTTGAAAGAATTTGTCGGCCAAATTCGAATCGACTAACATTATCGCCAACTATGGCTACATAGGGCGACGTATACTATAGATAACACAACAGCAGGAACAATGAAACACGAAGGAAGACACTCTTTCTTTGGTCACTACATTATGTTTACAGTGGCTTTTTGCACTGACCTACACCTAGTTACAACACTGCCGTGTGAATTTGATAGCTGTGCTCTATGACTTAGCTACATGATGTGTGAACTGTGCTGCTCATGATATTCTTACGCTCCTGACTTCTAAACTATATGTTTTTTTAGAAATAGCTGTGCTCTAACTTAAGGCTTGAAAGTTGGCATCTCTATGCGCGTCTCTATGTCTTCTTCAAGGGGGAAGCCATAGATGTGCGAGCAAGAGAAGCCGACTGTCAATCTCCAACTAACCAAACAATCGTGGCGCTAAGTGGGACCTATTTCCTGATGCTTTCTCCGGAGGAAAAAGGAGAGTTTGTGGATTCGATCAATGCGCTAACAACCATCGCGTACTCGTTTCTGCAACAGCAACAAGGACAAGCTGAAACGTATGGACAAGCAGAGGGTCATGGTCAATCGACGTCCAAAGAGGGAGAAGGCCGTCTTAGTAGGAGAAAAGAAAATAAAAAGAAAAAGTTGACGAAGAAGAGGAACCTGAGGCAGAGACCCATTTCAGACAAGTTCACATCGTCAACAGTGACAAAGCGATTGGATAACCTGTTATGATCACTCAGTGTCTCACTCATCTCTTTGGGCGTCTCGCTAGCCTTCCTGCAGGAAAAGCATGAAAATAGGAAAGACTGCGGGATGGAGTGCCTTGACAGAGATAGAATGAAGCACGTTCATCTTCTAAGCCGAGAAAAATTTTTGTTCGGAAGCGTGGGCGGGAATTACGATACCGGAGTAAAAGGGGTCGCACGCGTAGACGAGTGGTGCCCTAAGACGACCGAGAATCCAGAGGCAGAGCAGGTCTGCTTTACGATTTTACTTCAATGCTAAAACACGTATTTAGAAGTTTAGTTTTCAGAGATCATATTGTGTTGCAATCTAAGAATGAGCTAGGAAATGACCCATTTCTGTCTCTGCATAGACTGGGTACGGACGAGAAGTGTTCCCTTGATACCTCTAGACTGGGCACGCTGCTACTACTGTACTGCCTCCTTGCCAGCAAGTTACGCCCTTGGATCGACGTTGCATTGGGTGTAAAATAGGAAAATTATCTTTAGAAGTGACGTTTTTTGACATCTTTCATAAAAACGGTGGCAGACCTGTTCAAAGCGCTGCAGGAAAAGACTGTCGATAAGGACGGTTTCACCACGACCCCTGTACAGGAGAATTTTTCTTTAACTATTTAACTAGGACGGTTTTCCTACGACCCCTGTACAGGGGAATTTTCCTTTAACTACTTAAGTAAGTAAGTAACTAACTAACTAACTAACTAACTAGCTAGAAGATAAGAGTCTGACTGATGTTGAAGTTGGTATATATTATGAATATGATTGGATACTGTAGCTGACATAAGGCAACGAGCTATATTCTGTGTCATGGGAGATAATACCTCTATTATCTTTCAGCCCCTGTCTTTGTATAGCATCCTTCTTGTGTTGTACCCCTACCCCCGACCGCTTTCTGAAGTGAGTTCACGTCAGAAACGGTTTCCTGCTGTCTGGCGCATCATGGCCAGCCTTCATCAATTGACTAGCAGACGAATTGACAGCATGTCAAAAAGCTCAAGCGAAAATGGTATGGCCTCCTGGTGTTGTATCCATTTCTTTCTTTAGCTTCCCGTGACTCGTCTTCCCAATTAAAATACAACATAGGGAAGGCAGTTACCTGGACGGTATTGACTGAGATGAAATGAAGCATATTTTTCTAAGCTGGAGGGCGTTTTTATACGGAGAGGAACACGACAGAAATGATTGGAGTTGCCCCGCGAACCCGGATACGGATTCTGCAGTGGATGTTCGCGACAGACTTGTTATGATTTCTGTTTAGTGCTCGCAGGGTGTAGTACGTAGGCGAGCAGTACCACTGAGGTTTTCAAAAATCCTATCGAGTTTCAATTTCTCAAGAAAGAGGAAGTCAGTGGTTTATTGGTTGGCTTTTAAACGAAGCGCGTCAATCTTTCAGATACTAGGCAAGGCCCGTAAAGGTAGCATTTAGTGAACGTTTTGTGTAGTAGCTAGGTAGTGCAAATGCACATGGTTGCTGAGTTCCGCGGAAAACAAGAGTGATATTGAGCGACTTGTTACGAACAAGGTGCGTGGCGGTTCTTTTTCGTTCTAGCTTCTGCCCCCAAGACCCTGCCAAAAGTTTCCGCGGGTTTTTCTCCACGGATCTTATCCAAAAAAGAATGCTTTCCGAAAGTTTCCGAAAAATTCTCGGAAAAAAGCAGAAACTTCCGGCGCGCTTTTTTTCTAATGAGATTTATTGAAAAAGCTTGCGGAAACTTTCGGCGACCCACTTCATGGGCCTCGCCTCTTGAAGCAGTGGGAGTTCTTTTTGCCAGCTCTGCCGTCTCCCTGTCAGTGCCTAGAGACCCCGGGGGAACTCGCCGAGCTGACGACGGACACCGCGCCCACGCGGTCCATCGTGTGGCCCAAAACTCCTGGCCATACAACTCGAGCCTGCCGGGCTGGCTGATGCAAAAACACAGGGGGGCGCCGCCTGGGCAAAATTGAGAGGCGCCAGGGCCAGGGGCTGGCGGCTTGGTGCTCGGGGGGTTCCTCTCCGCACCAGAAGCGCCGGCAGGTCTGTGCCCCCAGGGGGCCGCCCTCTCCAGATCGGGGCGGTCCGTCTCTCGCTCTCCTCTCTCGCTCTTCTCTCTCGCTCTTCTCTCTCGCCCTCCTCTCTCGCTCTTCTCTCTCGCTCTTCTCTCTCGCTCTCCTCTCTCGCTCTCCTCTCTCGCTCTCTCCTCTCGGTCTTCTCTCTCTGTGTGTCTTTTTCCCCGCGTGTGTAAGGTATGTCAGTGGCTGTTTGCTCAGCTGTGTCATTGGCGTTTTTTGTAGAATTCCAAGCCTTCTTCATCGACTCGGCGCTTGCGGCACTAGTCCACCAAACAGACGGACGCCTGGTGACGAACGAATTGGCCACGGCTGGCGGTGGCGCCCATGAAGCCGTGGGAGGAGAGGCTGATGGCAGTGCTGGAAGAGACGACCAGGAGACGAGGGCTAGGGTCGAGGCAGTATTGACATTGGCCAAATTGTTGCACGCCGTCATCCTTGCGGGTCAGCAGATCTGTGACAACCTTAAGGACCTGAAGACAGCAATCAGCGAAGTAAGAGGCAAACTTAGGGGCAAGGAGCATGTGCTGCTCAAAGGTAACTCCGACTCCCGTGAACACTTCCAGGTGCTCGAAGGAAAACGAAAACATCTAGTCTCTCTGATCAAAGACGTTCAACCAAAACTCACGAAGGATATCTCTACAGAGATGCATAACAGATGTACAGGGCGAGCGCCGGAGACCTGTTTGATCTTTTCAAACGCCAAAGAGTTAGCAGGCCTCCGTGCTGATTGCGAGGCCAGGCGACCAGTGAGTGATGCGGCCTCGGTCTGCAGTATCTGGCATGTTAACACCCTGGGTCAAACAACACAATCTACGCGTTCGGACGAGCTCCGTTATTTTGAGCTCGGAAATCCTTTTTACACGTTCGAGACATTTCATCTTGCGAACCTATTAGGGCTGAGTATGATTTTTAAAAAATGGCATTCGAATCATTATCCTTGTTTATGTAGGTTTCCCTGTCCAGGTCCTTGCTTCATCTTCAACTTCTGAGTAAAAGTAGAAATAGATGTAAATAAAGTAATTCTCTCGTCATGTTATGCAGCAGTACTGTTGTTCTTGTTATCCGTTTCACAGCGTCTTTCTAGATGAATGGCGTTCACACTACATAGTACACCCCAAAGACCCCTCATTATAAAATCACACCCATCACTAAGATCGGAGGAGCAGACCTCAGGAATGGAAACACATTGGTGCGACAACGTTGCGGATCCATGGCTTGGCTCCGACTTGCAACGTTTCGCAAAACCTCAGGCGACGGCGCTTTTGCTCTGGAATGCTCCACGCATACACGAGGCGATGACAATGGTGCATGAGAATGGGAGAGAAAGACAGGAAAGCTCTTCAGTGCGTGAGGCGTATGAGCTATTCTGTAAAGAGGTTGTTTTCGACTTCTACCTGAAACAAGATGGACCACTAGGCGATGAGGCGAACAAGGCATCGCTCGTGAAGGCTTGGTGTAAGGACCCAAGCGCTAATCTAGTTTACAATATATTTGAAGCGCAATAAGTCAAATTATTATGACCCCCCGCTCAGATTTCGATTTGAACCTCGAATCTTGCATTGAACCAAATTAACTTCATTCAGTGTCTGTTTCTATGCAAAAGCAACATTGTGTAGAAACAGTACCGAAGCTTACGGGCTTGTAATCGTAATGTCCTCGAAGCATTTGAGGTCCTTCAGCCTTGAACGTGATAAATTAAACTTTGTGGTGGATGATGTGCTAGTGCTAGTCGTAGTACAATGAGGTGCTGTATTTTCACGTTGTACAACTGGGAAGTTCTGCAGCTATGGCATACTCCTACTTTGGTGGGCCGGCAATAATTACCATTTATTTTTATATCATTGACACAAGCGCTTGTCGAGGCTGAAATACGTTACTCCTCAAGTGCCGTCAGTGTCGGCCAGACTTTACAACCCTACAAAGAGTTGCCAATGCAACAAACAGAATCCATGTCCTAAAATGGAACGCTCTCTAAGAAGATGCATGTGTCTCCCACCTCTGAATTCTGTTACAATGAAAAAAGGGATAACAATGAGCTCTGTTGTCAAAGTGGGGCTATCTTGGTGTGAACGCCTTGCTTGAGCTGTAGCATTAAGAGAGTCTTACATTTTCCGCAGGGCTCATCATCCTAGGAGTCGCACAAGATACGTCTCTGCTAAAGTTCTAATAGTTGGAAGCGTGCTTTCCCAACTTAAAAAGATCAGTGACAGCAGACAAGAACTGTGGTTACTCAAAACACACATCGTTATGCCGGTATTTTAGCGCTCCTCCGGAGTTACTACATTACTGGTTGGCCTTGCAAGTAGACGCTAATAGCTACACAAGAGGCACCATGACATGCCAAGAAGATGAACAAGATAGAGATACTTCTCCTTACATTTGGTTTTTCCCAGGTATGAAGATTCTGAGGCTGTATTTATGATCCTAAAGGTGATCTTGATCTTCCTGATCTTGGTCGCGACCCTTATCATCTTGGTACTCAGATTCCTATCAGCATGACTTGCTATATTACATGATTAAAGTATTTGTAGAAGTCAATGAGAAGAAAAAGGGCACATCCTGATAAGTGCGCACTCTGCTGAGCCCAGCTGTCTGGAAGAACAAGTTTTCAAGGTCAATTCAGTATCAAGCGAGTATCCATCACATGTTCTCGCTCTAATATAACAATCTCGCCATATTATATTTTTCCTAAAAATTGTTGCTAGTGCCCGCTCTTACTTTTCAGAGATGACGAGACTCCGTCAGTACCTTGCTAATGAGCAATAGTGTCTCCGTGGTACTTGCGTTCTTCTAACATAGGTCGTCAATGAATTATTGCTGTGTTTCCTTGCTTCATCATTACAGAGTCAATCTTGTTTACCAAGAACATGAACATTATCAATCTCGTGGTTGATCTAATTGGGTTGATTTATTATCTAGTAGAGAAATAAGAATCTTAAGACTTATCAGCCTGATCACACATTCTTCTTGGGTGAATTTTTCATGGAGCAGGCAGGCAGCTCCTTTCTTGTCTGACTGCTAATTAATACTTTTACTTACTGTTACTTATTTGATTATGGAAAGATCAAGATGATTACGAATTGATGATAGGACGGAGGTGCAAGCAGCTAGTAGGTCAACTAATACGGATGACGTAGCTAATACATTGCGGCCATGTCCTGTATTGACAATAGACCGCGCTACGCGTGGAATAGCTCACAGAGTGCGACAGACGCGCTCCCAGCCGTTGCTAGCTAGGAGCGCAATTCTGTGTATTTTTTTGCGATGCGATCCGCCTGTTTTGTGCTGTCGGACGCCGGGCGACATTACTAGAGTGACCCCTCTCCAAAACATCCTTCCTCTATATCTATTAGCACCAACTACTTAGTTACCTCTTCATTTCTAACCTTCTTCTGTTCATAGGGAGGGAAGTACTATTCGGTCATGAGCTCGTCAACTACTACACCTAGACGCAGTGGGCGACGGATGGCAGTGGTGGCGATTTTTAAGAGGGAAGGCAGTTCATAACTCAGTGACAACTACTTGCCATCTGCTGTTCCATAATGATAGTACTGGGCAATGGGATGACTGAGTGTAAATATTTTAAATAACAGAATTCAATTATACATAGAGTCTCTGGTGATGTTTTAGACTTCTTCCTGAAAATCATACTTGAACTTGTCATATTGGGTCGCATTGTGAACTATTTTTATTGGTGTCCGTGTCTTTTTTTTTCGTCTTCTATTTTATTTTGCCACAAGAACAGGAGGAAGGCCAGTGCGGCGTGGTGTTACAGCTTACAAAGGTTAAGGTGGTCACGGATGTCGCAACTAATATTTCGTGTAATAAGGGTAAGGCAATGCAGACTGCATCCCGTTAGACAGTATTATCTCTGGCTTCTTTTTCAACGGCACATCGTTCCCTTCGACGTTTTTTTCCGAACGAGTCACCCATGTGCATTTAGATTCACCACGTCGAAAGAGAAAATAGAGAGTCAAGGAGTGTCATGGTGGTCCTAAGGTGAGAAAACCGATTGTCGAAGACGTTGAGCTAAATGGGGTTGGGGCTAGTTGTAAGTAGTAGCAGAGTCACACTCGTTTCCCTTGGGCTCGCTGCGCAAGGCTGACGTGGAGACCTCTTTGTTTTGAAGTATTTTCACCTCTTTTTGTGTTTCTAGAAAATGGACGGAACTAATTATATATAGATCTAAGTGGGTAGTCATGATTTCCTGTGAACAAGTTATCAAATTTGTCTGTTCCACTTATCACATCACGACTGACGAACTCGAACAGTAAGAATATGTACTAAAAGGGCCTTTTCGTCGCAGAGTCCATGTCCGCTACCAATGGCAAAATAATCAGTGCCATGAGTATCATCATCATGCTGGCAACATGAGGAAGATGAAGGAGCACCACAGGCATCGCTGAATTGTCCCAGGTTTTATCGGTAATAGTACTAGCCGTCTCCACTACTTCGTGGACATTCGTAGCTGTGCTCGTGGTTGTTGAAGAAGAACGAGAAAAGCATCTTCTCGCCGCGTGACATGTTAAAGACTACACTGGGGCACTTCTTAGCCCACATATGAGGAAGTAGGCTTGACTATCAATACTGAGAAAAGTCATAGTCTTCATATTTTAAACTAGCGACATTGATGATAGAACAAGAGATATTAGTACTGAATTAGTGAAGCTGAAGTACGGAAAGGAAAGCACATCATCGCGAAAGAAAAAAACAGCTACAGCTTTCGCGTGAAAAATCAGACGCGTCGAGACAGAATCACGCGTCCACATGTTTGCTTGTCATGATAATAGAGCAGTTTATAGCACGAATGGCGCATGGGACGAATGGCATGAATGGCACACCCCAACACACCCCAAATGTGTCACGAATGGCACGAATGGCACAAGTTGACAGGGTTCCCCTAGCTGGCGCCCCTGGCCTCGTCTGGTTATCGAGTACGCAGGTCGTGCGTAACAGATTCTGCCCATGAGAGAAGCCACACCGGTCGACAAAGCCGGCGGCGAGCGAGGAGAGGGAGGCGCGAGTCCCCGGCAGGCTCCTCGACCGGTTTGAAAATGGCAGGGGAGCGGGCTAGGGAAACAGCGGAGGCCGCTCCTGAGGGGTGCACAACTTCACGCAAGGCGCCGCGTGGGCCTCGTTTTTTCCCGGAATTCCGTGGGGGTCATACAAATTGGGACGGATTTGCGCAACCCCCACGGAATTCCGGGAAGAAAATGCTGCGAGACCACCGGAGCGGCATCGGGGTCCAGCTTAACAACAGGCGTAGCCGCGTGCCTTGCGGTAGCCGTGACGACGAAGAAGGGAAGAGGTGGCGCTGAAGCATGGCGCCCCGCCCGTAGCGGGGAGGCGGCCTAGGTATCTAGTGGAACTGTGTAAGGGGTGCGCGTTTGGCTGACTGCAGGGCTTGGCGCCTGAAGGGCGCCCTGCGCCCGCGGGGTTCTTGGCGGTCGGCATAGAGCGTCGAGCAGGAAGTGGCAACCTAGCTGAGACAGCAACGCAGGGCGCCCGAAGGGCGCCCCGCTCTCGAAGGTCTATTTGGTCCACGAATGGGACGAATGGCGAGGTCGATCGCGGTCACGGATTGCGCACCCCCCATCCGTGCCATTCGATCCATGCCATCCCAGACCTGGAACCCTTATAAACTGCTCTATGATAATATTAAACAGATATGCACAGGCGTGGCCAGCATAAAGTGCGTTCTCTTAAAAAGTTACAAACTTTAACTTTTTTTTATTTTTAATGTATGGAGAACTAGCTAGTTTCACCCTTAAAAACTAGCCCCTGGTGTGGTTCCCCAGGGGAAGGACACGACGGGAACCGGAGACACTTGCTAGACAAAGCACACGCACGGACATGCTTGAGTTGAACAGGCGCCACAATTGAGAAAAAGCTCGAGAGGTGTCAGCCTTGGCGGGGCGTCATCGGGCGCGCTCCCGCGGGGCGGCGAGCCCTATTAGTGCGCGCCGCTTGCTCCTTGAGGGACAGGATGCGTGGACGCCTGGCAGGGGTGGAAGCGCCTGCGGGCCTATCTTCAAGAGGAAGGCACAAGCAGGCGCATGCCACGCCTTGGGAATTTGTCCGCCGGGGTTTGAGGCATTCAGAGGCCACGCCGGCCCGCGGGGGTTCAGAGCTGTAGGGCGTTGCCTGTGGGGCGCGGCGCTGCAAGCCGGTGACGCGACTGCACGCAAGCAGGCGGCGCGACTGCATGAGGGCGCCGCCTCGCACCATCGGGCAGCGCGAGCCACGGGCTTCGGTGAGAGGAGAGCGCGGCGCCACAGCGGACGCATTAAGCTCCAAAGCCCACGCCCGAACAAACTGCGTGGGCCCGGCGCTCGGCGGGGAGAGGGGAGCGGGGCGCCAGAGAACGTTGGCCCTTTGACTTTCAAAATTGATGGCCTCGCTTTCTGCATGGTTTACGTCCTAACTTTCAAAACGCATGCTCGAACTGGAACCTCAAAACCCATGCTTTAGCTTTCAAAGCTCACGCCTTGACTTTCAGAGTTCAGGCGCTTCTCGACTAACTTACAAAATTCATTTCCTAACTCTCGCAGTTCATGTCCTAACCTTCGCAGTTCATGCCCTAGCGAAACCTTCGCCGGCCATCGCGATCGCCATGAATGTCGGTCCTAACTTTAAAAATTCGCGCTCCCTCACTTTCACAGTTTATTTCCTCACTTTCATGCCCTGGCTTTCGAAATTCATGCCCTAACCCTCACAGGCCACGCCGTAACTTTCAGAAATTCATCCGCCAACTTTCAGTACTCACGTCTTATAAGTTAAAGCTTTAAAGTTCATGCCTTAACTTTTACTTTCACAATTGATTCAGGGCCTGGCTTTCAAAGCTCAGGCCCTAACTTTCAAAGTTCACGCCCTAACCTTCACAACTCATGTCCTCGCTTTCAAAGTTCACGAGTATACCAAAACGCGACGCGTTTTGGCGGTGTTGTCTCCGCGTGGTGTCTTGGTCTTCAAAGTTCAAAAACCAAAATCAAGACTCAAAATTCAGCATCAAGACTCAAGACTCAGCATCAAGACCCAAAACTCGAAATACTTACAAAAATCAAAACCAAGGCAAAACTTTACAAGTAAAGAGAGCCTAAAGAGTCGACTTGTAACTATTTGGCAAGCCGCACTATATGCTGGCCATGCTTTGTGTGTGTCTAATCTTTTTCCCTACCCGTGTCTTAATAAATCTGTTCCCCCGGTGTCTCCTTTGAAGATTGTGTATCCGTGTCGTAATCTGTTTCCCCCGTGTCTCTTTTGATTTTTCTGTACTTAGCCGTGCCGTGTTAATGATCTGTTTCCCCCGTATCTCTTTTCATTCTGTGGCCGTATCTCGTTATTGCTTCTTTTTTTATTTGTAGGCCCCTTAGCTATTCAACATTCGAGATCGAGCGGGGGCGACCAATCAGGTCCATTTATATTCGAAGAACCGAAATAAGCAAGACTCGGGCTGCCGCGCTTCGCCCCCTGAATGAGTACGCAAGGAGTAGCTGACTAGAATAGCTGCCGAGATACTGAACAAGGAAGAGTAGCCCGCTAGAGCTACCTTCCTTATTTCGGTCAGGAGCTAACTTCTTCTAGTTGTATTCGAGTAGCCCATACTAGGACTTCTCAACCAACAACCCTTAGCAGGTCTCTATGGGGGTCTTCGGTTATGTTTGAGTTGGCGAAGGAAGTAGCATTTTGGTGGTGATGGATCTGAAAGAAACACGGAATAAGTTGTCTTCTGCCTTCAGCCCTCTGCTCCTTGTTTTGTGTTTTAGTGCATTAAAGTTATGGCGTCTCTCATAGGCGTCGACTCTTAACACTTCCCGCGTGGCAATAAATTTCCTCTCATATGTCCCATCTTCTTATTCAGTTTTTAAGAAAGTGCGCTAAGCTTGTGCTATCTTGTATAATTTTTCTTCTTAGCACTGGCATGACCTGGGTTTTCCTCTGATCTTTCCCTTCGTTCTTGTGAGTTTTCTTTTCCCGTGTTCAAGTTAACCGAACAAGCAACATCTGGAGTAAGTGCTGACACTTAACACGAGCCCTACTTGAACGGAGAAAATTCCACTCCGATTTTCACGGTCAAGGCTATCACCCTGATCGCATACAGAAGCCAAGACCTTCCTTGTCATACACTTTAGGGCACATCCGTGGAAATTGAGTGTGGAAGCAGTAACCCAAGCGCTTTCGTGGCTGTTTCTAACTGCTGGATAAAATCCTGAGGCCTGCAGAGAGATCAGCGATACAACCCAGCGACAGCGCTTTGCGTTTAGCAACCCCTAAACCATAAACCCTAAAAGTAAACGAGGCAATCATCTCGGCTCCAACACATACATAGCTCTTGGACACTCATCCCTAGCACTTTTACAGCCTGAAGATTGGGGGTGGGCCCGTGATCAAATATGCGTGTCCTAATGTGGCTGTGACACGATGAGGGCTGACTCGTGTATGTGTTGCATTCCCTGCGTGGTGGAAGTGTTAAATATTGTTCATTTTCGCAACGTTCGAACAAGGCTTGTTGTTTAATATTATGACGAGAATAGGCGCCTGGAGTCTAAACCTCACAAGGGAGACAGCACAGGGACTGCTTAGAGCACAGACACGCATGGGAAATGTTACGGCGCCTCTTGGTCGGCCCTTCCCGTGCCTGTCACTCTACTGCTGAAAAGAACAGGGGGCGCCTCCTTTGATTTGGTAGAAAGAGCCGATTTCTTTGATTGGCCCACTGAGTAGGTGACCCCATGGCCCTACTCCTTCAGCAAGATTCTAATTAAGTGCACACAGGCACCCTCATACCCATTCATATGCATAGGCAGTTTCTCACTCGGCATTCTTGCTCTCCTTGTGAGGTGCAAGAGTGCTGATAGGCCTCACCCCTGACAGCGAGCTCAGGAACAATACGAAGGCGATATGCAGCTGACATGACGCGTTGGCCCCTTGTCGATTGTACAAAAGGAGAGCGCCCATGCTGTTTATACATGTTGAGGAATGTAGTCTTTCCACCAAAACAGATGGAGTACTAGTCGCACAAGTCGTTATGTCTCTAAAGCGGTGCTGCGAACATCTTCACTCAGGTGAGCTGCAGCACATACACGGCCCTTCTCATCTACTGAACTTGAAGTCACAGATGACCACGGCTTCCCTATTAAACGTTGCCAGACCCCCACCTCCCTCCATACGGATTCAATAGGAGACTGTATGAAGACTCGGGCTTCTGAGGACATGGCGACGGCTTGGGCGTCAGCGCTGCTGTTCGGCGGTTGTGTCCTTGATCCCTTGCTCACTTCAGTTCTTCTACCTCCATTGTGTAAAAAGTGGTGCTGTATATAAAACATAAAAAAATAATAAAAAACAGAAAATATAAAACAAAAAGAAAAAATATAAAATTAAAACAAAAATAAAAATAGCATGGCATAGGCTAGCTTCAAATCGAAATTAGCAGAGCACCATGTGGCCGAATGTAGCACCACTTGAAGTCGAGTACTGCCATACTCATGGAACAGGAGGCCTGCTTTTATGTTCCCCACCAACCACGGCAGAAGCCTTGCCTTTCCAGTAGCAGATCTATTGGCTTCAACCTTGTTCCAGCGAAGAGAGAGAGAGGAGACAGGAGTGATTTTTTTATTAGAGACGCTGAACCCGGTGAGTGCGAGTGGGCACATCAATCATTCAATCAGCCAGCTTGTCAACTTCTACAAAAGAAGGAGAGGATTGAAAGATATCTGGATACGAGTACAGGCGTAAAACGATTTCGGTATCAGAAATCTACTACAGGTCACTCACTCACAGCTCACTGCGCACTCACACAGGGAGGACATGGCTACGGTTTATTCTTATCGGTGATTGGTCGCTGAGCATTAAGAGGGCGCGTTTCTTGAGGACAGTCATGATGGTCAGGTTATCAAAGAGTACACGATATGCAGTGTCCTAAGATCGGGCTCAGCCTTCCCACCTCCTGATGAGGTTCCGTCTTACCTGGCCCAACCCATCCACCTTTCATCGGACCGTACCTGGTGAAAGAATGGGCTTACTACGCGTAATTAAATGAACATCCTCCGCCCGCTCGCCAAGAAGAGCTGGGCATCTCATCATCAACATCAGCATCAGCATCATCATCATCATTATCATCATCATCACTACGAATACTACTACTACTCCCACTAGTTATTTCTCACAAGGTTGCTCTTGCAGAAGGTTGCTGCGCTCTTTTCCATAGTTGACGAGGATACATGGAGACACATTCTTGAGTGCTGGAACAAATATTCTCGACATACTCTAGGTAGTTTTAGAGTGCCAGATGAATCAGAACTGCATCGCCGCCCTCCAGCATCTATCTTTGTTTGCTCTCCCATTCCATTCAGATGAAGGATGTTGCTTGTTTCTTTCCTGCGGGCATTTTAGATGAAGATACCAAAATAGTACTTTCATCGCCTAAATCTACTAAAAGGCACATTTGCGCTTTTCATTGTTATCGAAGGACACTTTTGCTCAGCGTATGACGAAGATTCTGTGGGCTAAGTAGGATATGTAAGGTGGACAATATGCCGACGCACATTTGTAGTTGAACTAGTGCTATCATGTAGCCTCATTTGATTTGACTTTGGGAACAATGGCTACCCTATTAACCCACGCTCAGTTGCTGCACACCGGAAGAGGCCACTTTTTTACCAAGTGAAATTGTACAGGTACAAATGCAGAAAAACAAAAATGTAAAAAATTAAACTGCTAATGGCGTAGACCAGTAGTTATGTCCATGTGTTCTAACTCATTGCTTCCGTAGCCACTGACTGTTCCTGGTAAGAAATGAAAGTCGAATGACTTAACTACCCCTACTACGACATGCTAAGGGGGAGAAAGTGTTGACTTGTTGTTGGTGTTGATGGGAACAACTCGGAGGAGTTATGATTTTGTTGGCGCACTGGCACTTTTCTCGGTAGGTGCCGTCTGTCAACTAGGAGGAGTTGGCGCACTTTATTTCTACGTGCCAATAGAGTAATAAGTAGTTTAGGAAGTGCCACCACGACAGTATAAGAATGTCTACCCTACGCTGCTACGCCGATGAGAGTTGCGCTCGTCTCGCACCGCAGAAGCACAGCAGAGCTGCTCAAACCGGTAAAGCCGAGAGCGAGTGAGGGCGTATCTCAGCGGAGGCATCCAATTATAATTTCTGCCGATCCTGACCCTGAGGCGGCAGCCCATCTGAGTGTGAATCTAATCTCGACCTTCTTGCAGCTCTCGACCTCCTTGCTGCAGCAGCGCCTAGAGTTTGGTCCTCTCTATCATTAAGGGTGGTCGTAGTTTTTTCCTTCTTTTGTCCTCAATGAAATACTTTAAGGTGGAGTACTACAGGGCTAATTAGTAGTGTTCGTTGACTTTCATTTCGTTTTTCATGATCTTGTCCCCCATAACTCTAGACTTGGGGAAGGCCGAGAAATGCCGGCCAAAACAAGCAAGAATAACAGCAACAAGTATAACTTTCATCTTCCTGCCATTTGGTTGCATTTTTGACCGTACCCCGTGAATGGGTAACCTTCTTACCCTTGCGTTTGTGCCTACCCTTTCACCCTCCTAAAGCCCTTAAATTTGCACCTACAACTTCTACTATTAACTTCTACCTACTACTAATCATCGGCTTCGGCACAGCACTACTATGATATTATTACAATTTATTACTACGAATTTACTACCGACGAAGTACTTACTAATAAATGATCATGGGCACTACACTACTACTAATACTACTAACTTACTACCTACTACTAATCATGGGTACACTACTACTAATACTACTAACTACCTAGCACTACAGTAGTGCTAATCATGGGTACAACGCCACTCCTATTACTAGTACTACTCCTCCCACTACTAATACTAACAGGAATATTAACAGCAATAGTCTAGCTCTAAGAAGTCAGCTACGTCCATTCTGCGAAGTCCGAAGAGCCAGAAGATGCAGTGCCCAGAGGTGTGGCAGGGCCAAAGGTGGCAGGTGAAGCTGGCAGGCGAGTGGCGGGACTTCTCGGAGAATGAATTAAGAGCATGCTGTGTAGGATGAATGAGATTACTCTATTAGCCCGAAACATAACAAGGAGCGCAGCAGGAAACTGCCGTCCTCTGCTGCTCTCTACAGAGAATATTTGAGTTAAGACAGGGCTTCTGTCGTCCTATCACTATCCTCTCTAGAAGAAAATCGTGAGTGCAGGAGTAGAGAAAACTATGGCGCAACTACTCCTCAGATGTCGTCCATCTCTACTAGAGGGCTCAATAGTTGTTATCAAATTCTACGCACTTTCAGAAGCCTTGCGTAGTTGTCAATAGCAAACTACAATTAATATCCAGCATGATCCTGTAGTACTAGTAGCTGTCGTAGCAAATTCTCCGTCTTCAGTAGATCTAGACTCAGAAGCATTCATTGTAGACCTATCTTCAGTAGATTTATCTTCGGTAGATCTAGACTCGTATTGATTCTACAAGGAGGCGTCGAGATGAAGAGGAAAATCTGAAGGACGGATGGGAAGCCACCATCTAAGCCAAGACCTATTAATAAAGCGAGCTTTCGAGGCCCGTCAGAGCGAGTGCACTTTCATCGCGAGAGGTCAAGCTTATTGTTAAGGAAACTATTGCCCGTTGATGTCGTTAAGAAAACTATTGTTATGCGCTTGTCCCTTGTCGTTAAGAAAGCATAGACATTGTTATAAGAAAAATTAAAATTTTGTAAAATAGAAATATTGATATTATTGTTTAGTGACCAATCGATCCTGATTCAACACCAGGTGGTCGTGAAGACAATTGATAATTTATGGACTCAAACTAAGACTACCTTTTATTTTCATCACATTTATTGACCCATCGATATGGATCATTACTTAGCACTGACTTCATCAATATGGATAACATTACCCATCTCTAGTACAACCTACCCTCATTTCTTTATCATCTACTGGCGAGACAGCCAATCTTTAATAGTATATCGATTTTCAGCGCATGGTGCAAAAAAACACGAAGACTCCACCTTTCAAGACACGGCCAATCCGACATGTTAGCCTTGTGCGAAAACAGTACTGCATGCATATCCATATGTCCCTGCACTAGGACTAGCGTCCCTGTAGTAGGAATAGCATTTGTTTTTCTTACAACAGGAGTAACTAGGACTAGCATTTGTTATTCTTACAACATACAGACTGATCCGGTGCTCAATGCGCAGGGCTGAGGCGGAAACCTCTCTAAGTCTAAATCTATAAGACTATTGTCTTCTGAGTGATATGATTTGATAGTGATACTCGTGAGCATTTCTTACAGTTTCTTTGTATTTTTTACAGATTATTATTATGATTTTTTGGGTGGTACTGAGACAGTACTCACATCTTTTTATTTCATCTTGGAAAAAATAAAAAGGTAAGTATAACTATAAATTTTGAGTAGTATTACTACTTTTTGCTCAATATTATCGGAGGGTAGATCGATGTGTGAGAATTCGTGCTGTTCTTGCTGACTAAGATGTAGCAGGTAGCGACTTTCAATCCAAAACTCATTACACGGCTAGTTGCTAGCATTACTTTATCTTCTACTTCTCCTCAATAACAATAGGGGGCTTCCTTCTCCTCTATCGGGTAGGTACTTTCTTCTCCTCAATAGGGTGCTCCCTTCTCCTCTATCGGGTAGGTACTTTCTTCTCCTCAATAGGGTGCTCCCTTCTCCTCTATCGGGTAGGTACTTTCTTCTCCTCAATAGGGTGCTCCCTTCTCCTCTATCGGGTAGGTACTTTCTTCTCCTCAACAGGGTGCTTCCTTCTACTCCTCACTAGGGCGCTGAACGACGAGCCAGAGCCGGATGTAGAGCAGGCGCCGAATCCTTTCCGGCCAACCGGCGCTCCGGGACCGCCCAAACGGTCGCCATCGCTCGGTTACTTTCGACCAACAATTACGATCTACGAGGGCTACGCTGTATTGTTGAACAAGTAGAAAGAACGTTCTATTTCTAATCAAGTAGAAAGAACGTTCTATTTTTAAACAAGTAGAAAGAACGTTCTACTTCTAGTATAATTAAAGATATGACAACGTCGATCAAGAAAGTGTCTAAATAGTAGCGCTAGGTCGATCATATCTCTTTCAGTCTGTCATGAGTTATCAACGATTCCTCATCAGTTTAGTTTTGTTGCTGCTCATTCTTGAGACAGAAGGGATATTCTGATGTTGCATTGAGCTTACGTATTTTTAGGATGTGCAGGCTTTTTCGGAACCTCCATTCGTATCTATCTCATTGCGATTCCCATGGGCCATGATCTGACGTTGGTAATTAGCGACATTTGTAGTAGTAACTCTAAGATATATCAAGAGGCAAGCCCTTCACCTGGAGCCGCTGAATCAAGTCCAAAGACGCAAGAGCGGGAGAAAGCTCCATCCCCTACCAAGCCGCCTCCTGCAGTCCCGACAAGCAACAGCCGCCCTCCATCCTTATGCTTATGTCTAGAAGAAGGCTTTGGGTCGCGCCGTCGAGTCGCCGTCAGAGTCGCCCTTAGGTGTCCTCGTAGTTTCTTCGTTGTAGTGCCACTTCCAGCAAATCAATGGCAATGTATGCGTACATTCATTCTAAGAGTTTCTTCTTCGGCAGGGCAACTCTCCGTGACGGTACAGACGCTTACGGGTAAGAGTGTGGCGCTATCCGGAATTTCTGCGGACATGACATTAAGAAAAACTATGTAAATGAGAGCTACCCTTTTTTTGAAATTGTGCTGACGTTCCTGAAGAACTTTGACTTTGACAGATGATGATTCATGTTCCTAAGTGATCAGTGAAAAGCCTAGTCCTAGACTTTAGGCTTTATTTTTTTGACAGATGATTGGGTTGTATCATGAGTACGTAGAATCATAACTAAAAGAAACAGGAGTAGGACCCACACCCACACAGCAAGTGAAGACGTCTTGTCTGACTCTTTGAGGGGACTTGATGACATTCATTATGAGACTTTTTCTGGATTAATAAGATGGCGCTGAGGAATACGAATATGATGCAGAAGATTCGATGTTGACTCCAGTCCTGACATCTGTTCTAATGAGGGTCATCGAATTGAAGCGAAGGCTGGAGGGGACAGAGCAAATTGCAGCGGGGCAGCAACGTTTAGTCTATTTAAGGCCTCAAGTAATCCATCTGTCAGTTCATCTGTAACCTTTTCTCACGTACGTAGAATAAAACTGGACACAGATCATGGGGCCCAGGATGCAGATGGATTGTAGTGACTTCTAATCTACGCAGGACGCCAAATGGAGGACAGCAAAACGCTCGCGGACTACTCAGTGCGCTCTGGCGGCGTTATTACACTGCTTCTGAAGCTGTAGCAGGCGGGACAGGGAGCCCATGATCATTTGAAAGAGATGAACTAATAGAAGAACGATAGTAATAGAAGCATAACCATGTTAATACTTGGGACACTGTACAACTAGTTGTAGCACGCGGGGAAGGGAGTGAGCTTTTTTCTTTGGAGTAGAGATCACTCGTCGTCGCCGGCGCGCTCTGATGGCATCATCACGGTGCGAGCAGCTGCATATTTGAAGATATTTCAGTGCAGAAGTCAAACGCAACTCCCGTTGTCCCTTTCCCATATGCGCCCATCTTCTCACCAGGAAGAGGCACACAACCCCGGCAATACTTTCCATTGAAAATGATGCGTAGTAAGCATCCATTTCTTGTTGACATGAGACACGCACATGGACTGGAGTCTCGACGACGTCCACCTTTGTAGCATGGACGAAGATGAATGTGATTAAGATAATCAGCAGCAGGGACCCCTGAGTGGACACACGCGGCACCTAGAATAGATGGATCCTAATTAGCGTGGCCATTAAATTAATCTAATTCTAAGCGCCTTCTTTTATATCTACATGCCTTCCTTTATTTACTTTTCGTAGTTAGGTTGGCTCCACCCCTACTATCAGCAGGAGCAGAGTGAGAATGAGGTGTCCAAGATCAGCGTCCTTCGCTGGGTTTCGTTCTCTTCAAGATACAGAGGCTAAGTCTTCTGGACTGGTTGGCAGACTCGTTCAATGAGCTCTCGACCCGGCGAAAAAGAACCACCACACGAAGCACAGAGCGAGTACCTGAAAACGGCGAAGGGCCACCTGTTGACGATTTCATTCCACAGCACTATTAGTCTGTCCTTCTTCGTTGTGTTTCTGCTCTTGGATTGCCTTTTTGTGGCTTTGCTTTGTCGTTTGGCGTTCCCGTTGTCTTTGAGAGCTTAGACGAGTAACAAGAGAGAGAGACTCTTTTTAGCGTGCTTTGTGGCTTGGGGCTGGACGCGATCTTTAGCAGGGCTGGACATGGTGAGCGCGTGGTGGCTTGGGGCTAGACGCGATCTTTAGCAGGGCTGGACATGCTGAGCCGGTTCCCTTGGTCTTGTCAAGCGCAGCGGGCTGCTGGGGATGCGAGCACCCGCCCCCCCCGTGTCCCGCCATTATGGGGGCTGGGTGTGGTAGGTACGCCAAGGGCTGTAGCTGCATCTGTCGGGCTTTATTCGTTATTTTCAACCTTAAGCTTCTTGATATTGATTCGGTTTCAAGCTCGTCCCGTCCCTGTCTCTTATGAGAAGCCTGCCAGCACTGAAACTGATAGGGCGACGCCACTTGATGCACTGACCCATTCTACTCGGCAAGTTGGGCAAGATTCTCCGGCCACTAGGACTCACTTGTCGTGAGGATTATTTTTACTGGAATTTGCTATGTTGGCGCTCGGCGTAAGCCCTAGTCGGTTGAAGTTGAAGAACGCTGGCGTTCGTATTATGATGAGCGACATGGAGTCAGCACCCAACCAAAGTCGAGACCGAGAGGGCGATAAATTTGAATAAATGACGGCAACAGAGCTCGCTTTGTTGCAGCATTTATCTATACAGCCGCGTAATACAAAACTGCAACAGCTCATCTGTGTATGAGCTGCTTTTCGTCCCTGCGACTGTTGTGTTCGTCGTACGAGTTAAATCCAGCATCAACTTGCACTCACTCCCTATTATCAGAAGTGTCCCCCTCGCATTAAGAAAAGAGAGACTGAGGTCAGAGAGAAGAGAAAACGCTCGAGAAAATGGCCAAAAAGGTTAGTCGACTATATAATCTGAAGTATTCGCTTATAAATATACATAGTTAGGGCAGCACAGTACCGAAAGACTCTTGTCAAAGTTTCAGGTCAGTCATTTATATTCAAGTCCAAGTCCGATCTAGTCTTTATTTTTCCCGCCCTCCTACTCCCTAGGAAAAAAAAAAATGTTGAGCATCCTGTCAGCGAAACTCCAGCAGGAAGCTGAAAAGTCACAACAGGTGGCAATTGCGAAAGAAAAGAGGTTTAATGCTGCTCTTGTTGGCATTCGTGCACCGGGTCCCAGAGTTCCAATTAGCAAGGCAAGGGCCTTGCCGTGGCAAAAATTTGCAGGCATCCAAGGATCATCATCTGCTTCAAGCTCTAGTGCTGCCAAGTCTCTGCCTTACTTTAAGCCACCATCGCATTGTGCCACAGGCGTTTCTTCCGCGAAAGCAAAGTCATTAGGTGGGATTCCAAGAGAAGTGATGACAGGCAAGCGAAAAGTCGCTTGCGACATAGCCGGCAACATCCACAAGCTGGGCAATGCTCTGTCGAGCCTGGATAACATGTTGTTGAACTCGAAAAGCAACGCTGTTGCGAATTCCCGGCTTCGCACCTACGAGATCATAATGTCCAAGTCTTCTATCAAACCGTGGCCAGCCACCGAGGTGTCCTTGTACACTTTCATAGGTGTAGCGGTTGCGGCCGAGTATGCGTCCACCCCGGAGATCGTGAGTGATGTTCTTGCCGCGTCCCCCAACCTCGAGGACCACATCGGGTTGCGAACGCGGGAAGTCATAGCAAGGCTCAAGAGGAAAGGAGTTTTTGGTGACCGTGAGCAGAAACAAGCACTGTCGCTTCGGATGATTGGAAGGCTGAAGTACGGCGTTGATCCATCATCTCTAGGTCCAAAACTTGTTGCAACTTTGCTCATCGCGCTCTTTGGCGCTCTCAGGAAAAGCGAAGGTGCGGCTTTGGTGTACGGGAGGTCTTCTCCGGATTACATTGGCATGAGATTTGACGATTCGGACGAGTCGCTGGTGCTAGATTTTTCGATGTTTCGCCAGAAAGGCGGTCCTCGGTGCGCTAAGGTCACACGTATTTTCTGCGCGTGTGCCAAGGACCGAAATCCGGACGATGGCCCAAAGGAGCAGCTGTGCCTTATCCACAGCNCTATTATCAGAAGTGTCCCCCTCGCATTAAGAAAAGAGAGACTGAGGTCAGAGAGAAGAGAAAACGCTCGAGAAAATGGCCAAAAAGGTTAGTCGACTATATAATCTGAAGTATTCGCTTATAAATATACATAGTTAGGGCAGCACAGTACCAAAAGACTCTTGTCAAAGTTTCAGGTCAGTCATTTATATTCAAGTCCAAGTCCGATCTAGTCTTTATTTTTCCCGCCCTCCTACTCCCTAGGAAAAAAAAAAATGTTGAGCATCCTGTCAGCGAAACTCCAGCAGGAAGCTGAAAAGTCACAACAGGTGGCAATTGCGAAAGAAAAGAGGTTTAATGCTGCTCTTGTTGGCATTCGTGCACCGGGTCCCAGAGTTCCAATTAGCAAGGCAAGGGCCTTGCCGTGGCAAAAATTTGCAGGCATCCAAGGATCATCATCTGCTTCAAGCTCTAGTGCTGCCAAGTCTCTGCCTTACTTTAAGCCACCATCGCATTGTGCCACAGGCGTTTCTTCCGCGAAAGCAAAGTCATTAGGTGGGATTCCAAGAGAAGTGATGACAGGCAAGCGAAAAGTCGCTTGCGACATAGCCGGCAACATCCACAAGCTGGGCAATGCTCTGTCGAGCCTGGATAACATGTTGTTGAACTCGAAAAGCAACGCTGTTGCGAATTCCCGGCTTCGCACCTACGAGATCATAATGTCCAAGTCTTCTATCAAACCGTGGCCAGCCACCGAGGTGTCCTTGTACACTTTCATAGGTGTAGCGGTTGCGGCCGAGTATGCGTCCACCCCGGAGATCGTGAGTGATGTTCTTGCCGCGTCCCCCAACCTCGAGGACCACATCGGGTTGCGAACGCGGGAAGTCATAGCAAGGCTCAAGAGGAAAGGAGTTTTTGGTGACCGTGAGCAGAAACAAGCACTGTCGCTTCGGATGATTGGAAGGCTGAAGTACGGCGTTGATCCATCATCTCTAGGTCCAAAACTTGTTGCAACTTTGCTCATCGCGCTCTTTGGCGCTCTCAGGAAAAGCGAAGGTGCGGCTTTGGTGTACGGGAGGTCTTCTCCGGATTACATTGGCATGAGATTTGACGATTCGGACGAGTCGCTGGTGCTAGATTTTTCGATGTTTCGCCAGAAAGGCGGTCCTCGGTGCGCTAAGGTCACACGTATTTTCTGCGCGTGTGCCAAGGACCGAAATCCGGACGATGGCCCAAAGGAGCAGCTGTGCCTTATCCACAGCATGCCGCTTAGGTTGTGCATCCAAGGCATGAAGTCCGGGGGTCTTGATATTCTTTGGGCTATTAATAGTTTACTCAAAGTCTTGAGGTTACCAGTAGAGCAAGCTGCTAAGTTTGCTACACATAGTTGTAGAGTAGGTTGCGCGGTCCATTTGTTTTCGCTCGAGGCCCCGCCCGAGCAAATCACTCATCATGCTAGGTGGAGCGATACAACTATGTTGTTTTATTATGCTAGAAATAGTAAAAAGAACGCTCGTCCCCCTCACTGGTCCAATTCTATCAATTGGATCAAAAATTCCGCATTTATAAAGAGCTCTGTTATTGGCCTTCCACAAGAGGAGGATTTCAGTGTCGAGTTTGATTTCGACGATGTACTTTGGGAGCAAGAGAAGGATGATTGATTGATTCTATGACATTCCAAATGGTCCCTTTATGTCCAGTCCTCAGCTCTTTTTCCCCAAGCTGAAGAAAAAGAAAATCATCATCAGTCATGCCTTACTTCCTGTCGCAAGTATTCCCCTATGTTCCGAAAAGGTTGCATACAGAATCAAAACCTGACGAGGGATGAGTGTTTTTCATAGGAAAAAATGCAAAACAGTAAAAAAAAAATTTTAATTTACGGCCCGCCATCAGAGTATCACGCCGGTTATACCCGAGATAGTTGGTTTTTTTTGAGCGCAACCGCAAGTCACGTGATCACGTCAAGTTTTTTTTTCTCTTCCTTCTTTGTCGTAGCATCGTTCTCCCATCATGGATCCTCCAGCAGGCGGAAATGTACAAGTCGCCGGAGGAGGAGGCGCTGCTCCGCCAGCTCCAGCTGGTCCCCAACTTGGCCAGGCGGGGGCAGGTCCAGTTGGGGGTCCTGTTCCAGGCCCGGGACAGGCGCTTGCTGCAGCGAACAACAACAATCAACCGATTAACATCAATTTACAAGTCGCTGACTTAGCCAATCAGATGGTGCGCGCTCAGGATACTAGAGCAATGGGCACAGCTGCTGAAGTCCAAGCGCATGGTGTTTGCGTGGGTCAGATCACGGAGATCTCCCTCCAACCAGACTTGGAACTTTGCCGCAAGGTAAGGTCTTAGTCGGTTAATTCTCTTCCAGTAATTTGTTATGCTTTAAGTGTTAAATTTTCTCGCATACATTTTTGAGTCCTAACATCTCTTCCTTGTCGTGTCTTTTTGACAGCTTCGAAAAAAAAAACAATTCTTTCGAATAAAAATACTCGTTCGCAGGTCAATAAAGAGGTCTTCAAGAAGCAACTCCACCTAAGCTCGAAGTGTGGAATTGATGAGAAGACACCGGAGTCGCTATATCGCTTCGTTTATGCGCTCGCCTTTGTAGGAGAAAGTGGCGCAGTGTTGGGCTTCGCTGATGCTAACAAGCTGGTATTGATGGTGCGCAATTCTACCCTTACTGACGCGGAAAAATTCAAGATTTTCACACAAACCATGCTCAGTGCATCCGACCAGGTGGAGCCGAATCCATTAGCTCCCACAGATTTCCATGCTTACAGGAACAGAGTGACCTTGTGGCACTAAATTGAGAATTTTTTTTTTATTAATTTTTCCGCATCTTATTATGTTTGAATAGTCCGTCATGGTCATGGTCTCGGTTCGTTCCTTATTCCTACGTCTGATCCATGGAAATTTGTCAAATGTCTTATCAATCACTCCGTGTCCCAGGTTCCAAGTCCAGTTTCCCTTGCTCTGGCGACATGCAGCGGAAGCCCAATCTGCTTTGTCGAAGGCCATCCAGGAGAATAACAAGCGTATCGAAGAAATGAAAGCAGAATTCGAAACGTGGAAAAAGTCCTCTTTCAATAGAGGCGGAGGAGGAAACTGGTCGAGCAACCCATATGGGCGCAATAATGGAGGTGGCCGTGGAAGCGATGCTTCCAGCAAAGGTGATGGGAAGAAAGGGAAAGGTGATAATCACGGGGGAGATAAGAACAATGACAAAGGGGGAAAGAAAGGTAAGGGCAAGGCCAAGCTTCCCAAAGCTTGTTTTGATAATCTTTGGGGAGTGTGCTCCAATCCGGCGTGTGCCCACCCTCACTATATCCCCAACAAGGAGGAGCTCGAGGCTATGAAGAACAGTCGTTTGGGTTGGGCAGTCAAAGATTTAAAGTTTGAAGATCTTCCATCGTCATAGTGTTGTTGTGTACCATTGTTTTTTTTTACTCCCCAGAAGGAGCGAAGTGTCATCGTTAATAAATAACACAGATCCGGTTTTGTTATATATCAAATGCTTTACAGCCTTTTTCCCACAAGTTGTAATAGCCACAAGAGTAGTCAATAAGTATTAATTTAGGGTAACCAGTTTTAAGTTCAACGCAGTGCTTTTCTGTTAAGTCCTCACTCTTCGCCAAGTCGCCTTTTTTTTTGCAAAATGATGTAACAAGGTTAGCTTTATGATTAAGTAAATTCGACTGCTTAGGGCAGAGCAAGTTTTCCACCCAGTAGAAGAGAAGTTAGTCGCCCAATAATAGGCGAGTGCCTCAAATACAATCAGATAGGTCTTGGTGAAAACATACATCCGATCACGTTGTAAAAAGCACAAGTAAATCCTCGAGCTCGCGGCTGCAGTTGATTCTCTTTTCTTCGAGAGTCGAAAAAAAATGAATTTTTCCAGTTACTGCTTGTGCCAGTTACTGCTTCCAGATTTGAGGGTGGACCGCACCGAAGTAGGTCCTTTCATGTTCGGAAAAAAAAGGGCGAAGAAAAAAAAAGAGGCTCTAACTGAAAAGTGGAGACAGCGTCGTCTACGCCAAAAAAAAACGCAATGGTGTCCAGGGTTTTTTTTACAGGCAAGTTTAAGAAAAAAAAATGTCAGAGGAACCAATCACGGACGACAGCTTCAAGGCGAAGTTCCGCCTCATGGAGCAGCGTATCGGGTTCGATAGGAGAAGGAAGTTTCCGCTCCAACCCCTCGCCCATGAGACGAGGAGATGCATTAAGCGCCTCCGGTTTGCCAAGCCGGGCTCCATTTTTCCTGCCTTCAAGGAAGAAGTAGAGCAGAAAACTCAGGCGTCAGCAGGCAAGGACGCCACCATGAAGAAGAACTTGTCTGATCACATCAGGAAGCTTAGTGCGCGATTTAATCTAGGTCTCTTCAACATCTTGGGTTACGTCTACCTTCCAGAGGATGAGCGGTTTTACGAACCCTTGGAGTTGGGGGCTACAACAGTGGGCCCGACTAACGCGCCGGCCTATTGGCCGGATTCGTCGAAAAAGAAAGCCCTACCACAGTCCATCGTGAATCTTCCTCGCAACGTAGAGTCGTTCAAGCAGCAAGGAGAACCACCATGGGGAAAGCAGGAAGCACTCTTCGCGTGGCAGGGGTCGCTCATGGAGTGCATCTGTCCATGTGAGGAGTCATTCGAGTTCAAAATGCAAAATGCCCATGTTCTCCTAGGGTGGAGTGTGGTGTTAGAGCTGCTACCTCTGAGAGTAAGGGGAGCTTGCGCGAACCTGCTGCATAAGTTCCTTTGGGGGGAGTCCATCGGAACAAATAGTCTGGAGGGACCTATTTCTATAGATGAGGCAATCGAAAGAGGTTGGGGGTTATTAACGCGTAGATTCCCTACGGTCCAGAATAACAAAATTAGGTTGATAGACCCTTTAGTCCCTCAAAATAAGTGCTCGATTCTCGAGCGTGGCGTCCCTATGACGTCCGCCGCGGAAATCTTGGCTCAGGCCACGGTTGTCCATGATTCTAACTTAGTCGATGCGCCACTTGTCAATATGAGCAAGTCCTTCATCAAGTCTTCGCTGAAGATAGAGGCTGAGTATGAGAAGCAGGTGTGTGGACACATCCTCGAGGAAGGTCCTCCACCTGAAGAGAAATTTTTCTCGGGTCCCCCGTCTCCTATCAGAGCATCACAGGGTGCTTCGGTGACGTCTCCTTCTCCTTCACGGAAGCGGTCGAGGCAAGTTCGTGACGAACCCGGTGAAGAATTCTCGTTCGCACTCATTTTGGTCTTCCTTTTTGTGGTGGATATCCTCAAGGCATACAATAATGTGCCTATTCGTACTTCTCATTTGATGTTTAATCGCATCGCCGTGTGGTCCCCAATTGATGCGTGTTTCTTTGCTTTCCAGTGTCTTGTCTGCGCGTTTGGCAATGTTCATAGCGTCACCGCGTGGATTCGCATCTCCTGGGGGATAAGGATGATTTTTCGCCGCATGCTTTTTGCTTTAATCGAGTTGTATGTGGACGACTTCACGGGCATTGCGCCTGCGCGTATTGCCCAGGAGTTGCTAGATTGCTTCATCTTCCTTCTAAACGCGTTGGGTCTCCCCTACGCTAAGAAGAAAGTAAAGATAGGGGCAGATGTTGAAGTACTTGGGCTTCTTTTTAATTTGTCCGGCAAACCGTATTTTTACGTCTCACGGGATAGGGTCCTCCAACTTGTTGCTATGATAGATGACATTTTCAAGGAAGACAAGTTGCTCCCTACTACTGCGCGAAAACTTCAAGGTAAGGCTTTCTTTATTTTCGTTTCTTTGGTCGATAGGGCAATGAACCCAATTTTACGACCACTGATTAACAGGTCGGAAGAAATCGATAAGACCACAGCAATCACGAATCGCCTTAGGCAGTGCTTACACATTCTAAAGTTTCTTGTACAGCAACCGTTTCGAAGGTATTCGAAGTTCCTCCCAGCGGGGAGCATAGGAAATCTAGTGTATACAGACGCTTCGTTCGCAGGTGATGAAGGCTACCTGGCGGGGGTTTTGCCGAAGTATCTAGGCAACAATAAGTTCAAATATCTGTGGTTCAATTTTAAGATATCTCGGGATCAGTTGCACAAGTCGACAGGCAGACAGCCAATTGCTTTTTTGGAAGCGGTCACTCCAGCTCTCGCAGTCAAGGTTTTTGCTTGTTCTCTCGAGAATCAATTTTTCAATTTTTGCATTGATAACGAGGCGGCTAAGATGTGCCTCCTTAACCAGTCATCTCAAAAGCAACATATGTCATTTGCTTCTTTTCTTTTTTGGAGCTCCTTATCGCTCATCAACGGTTCTGCTTGGGTGTCCCGAATTCCATCTGCGCTCAACATAGCGGACATTTTCACGAGGCTCGACCTCATGGATGCGGCCCTTCGCCTATTCCCTAACCTTTTCGAACATATTGTCCTTGATTCTGTCCAGAAGGAATTCATTATCAAGGCTTGCAGCCTGGATCCCGATTTTCCAGGGGCCGCAGTTTCCTTAGATAAGAACTTTTTCAAAAATCCTGAGGTTGAGCATAAGAAGTCATAGGTATGTCATAAAATTTTTTTTGCGGCCTGTTTGTTCAGACATCAGTCAAATACACACCTTTTGCCATCGTGTGTTGTGAAAGAAATAGTCCTTCAAGTCTGAATCATGGTTTTTTTAAGAATGTTTGCCAACGGGCCATGTTGCGATATTTTTCCATCGCGCGCTTGCAAGACAGCGCTAAGCACCTCTGACGCCCTTCAGCCACACCAGTCCTCACGTGTTCATCCTGTCATGAATGATCTCCCTCCCAGGCACGAGTAACCCACTTTCAGGGAGGACAGTTCCGCATGTGGACTTAAGGTTAGACTTTCGGTCAGTCGAGTGTGGTGTAAGGTTGTCATGGGTGCGTTGGCGCGCTCTAAAATCTCGCTGGATCAGGTCTTGCTAGTGCGTGGTTTAGCAACTAGTCAGTCGCAGGTTTACATCCAAGTATGTAGTGGTAGTATAGATAAAAGACAAACTTGACAGGACTGCGATTCGTCGGAGCTAAGAGAGTGGAAGAGCGCCGTCGCCATCTGTCTGCGAAGCGATAATTACCAGCATTGCACATGATTTGGCCTTGCTGACTCTTCTTGATAGCTTGCTTCTGGCACACACTTGCCGAGGATGATTTTTGTCAAAAATGGAGCGAGAAAGCAATTCGCAAAGGAGCTATAGCTAATGCAGCTCCTGGCGCTAGTTCTTGTGAATTAGTTTTTTTATACGAACATGACGACTCTCATCGAGCAGATCGCCTCCGGTCTCTTGTCTGTGCTCCAGATTGGCTTTTTACCACTCCAGCTTCTGACGCGTCGGATATTCAATCTAACAGCCGGTCACGGTGCTGGAAGATGTAACACTGACGACTGGAAGAGGGGGACAACGACAGAGCCAAACGCAACCCCAAAAAACCCGAAGCATGTCCGTGAGGCAGACGCAGTGGATTCTCTCACCACGTGTGACGAAAGCAAGATGTTGAAGTCAGGCGACGACGAAGACGATTGCAGACCTAGATCGTCTTCTGCAGCGTCGAGTCAAATGCCAGGCGAAAAAGGTGCTGACAACGACGGAGGCGATGGAGCAGCCCAGCATCAAGCCCCGGCAAACAGCTCATCCTCGTCCCCCGCTTCCAACATCAAGATCAAACAGTCGGAGGCCACTATCAATAGTGTAAAAGAGAAAAGGGATAATGACGTAGATGGTGCACAAGCTTCGAGCAATATAATCTACAAGCGAGAAAAGGAGATTTCGTCTTCGACGCCATCACCTGCTGAGGCTTTCGTACTAGACTCCCTCGGTTGTCCTCTATGGTACACGATCCTCTCGTACCTGGATCCTCTTTCCCTGCATACTTTTGAGCTCACATCAAAAGCGATCCGCGACTTCAGAGGCCCGGTCGGCGAATCTTTTTTCGAAGTGGCTTGGCGGGTGTGCTACCTTCAGCCATTCAAGGGCGGACACTTGATAAGTAGTGGGGTCACAAGCGACGAGCAGACGTCTGCCGCAGTCGCACAGAGGGGCATCAGCGTCGTCGCAATACTGAAGAAGTTCCGCAAAGAGCTGCGCGAAGTTCAAGCAGCCTTAGGCCGTGCCAATGTTGGCGTGGGGTCTAGTGATGCGTCACGACAAGAATTAATGACGAAAAGGGAGAGACTCTTCCGAAGAAGCCGGAAGCGTGGAGAACGATTCAAGCGGGCAAGCTTTCACAGAGATGCCGCTTTCGATTCCGCAGAGAACTCAGAGGGGTTGAAGCACTAAGCCAAGAGTTTTTTAAAATTTCACTGTGCTAGCTGTCCTTGTAGTTGTTGGATCTCGATGTATAGGAGATTGATCATGGGCTCTAAGACACCATATTGGGCAGGGCCAAGGTTGTTATCCGCCTCTGCCGCGCCCTGGCGCAACGGCGGGCCCCGGACCTATCGGACGACGCAGATGGATACTTCCTGCATGAATGTCGGGACTTGGGAAAACTGGCTGACGACATCGCCACCCGACTCGAGGAGGTTAGAAACGTGAAGGAAGAAAATGGCCGTGACTGCACGCAGCAGCTTTATGAGCCCAAACCCGAGATCCCATGATGCCAATAGGCTATTTTCAGAATGACCGACTGAGATCCACGGACCATGGAACGAATACATAGTAGAAGTTAGCCTTTACGTATACGGGGCTGGTCCATCTCAACAGACTAAGTATTAGTATGCAGGATTGTATTTCATAGCGAAAAGTAGAAAAGACTTAGACACTTTTGTGAAAAGTATCTATCTTCAGTATTCAGTTCGATAAGGACGATGAGAAACTTTTCTGAACTTCTTCTAAGAGCTGCAAAGATTCCTCGAGAAAGGTTGTCTTTCCTGGGGACTTCGGTTTTCCGATGATGCGGTGGACAGGAGAGGAAACCGTATTGGCACAGTCCAGTATCATTTCACAGGCTTCGCAATTTTTGGCGTACCCGGAACCCCGATCTTCATTGGTGCTTGCCGAATCACTACCATAACAAGCGCGTCGCCTGTGAAACAGACCCGCTTCGGCCACGGAGAGGAAACGCTGGAGAAGTCGGTCTTTTATGAACAAGATATTTACTTATTAGGGGTTCTTAATCTTATCGTGCGTAGTTTGATCATATGAGCAGATCTAGAAGTAGCACATCAGTCTGCGCGCTCTCAGTGTAGAAAGTGTTGACCTGCAAGAAAGGGAAAGCGTAAGTTAGAGATCCAACATTCAATTTTGTTGCAGTTGCTGCACCAACTCGCTGCTCACTAAATTATGATCCTTCTTCTAGTTGTATTCAAACGAGTAGACTACAAAAATATTGAACGCGTAGTTACTCCATCAAGGAGAGTTGTCAGCTGATGGTGAGCTTTTGAAGGGAGTGACACTCTTCATTACGGCAAAGCATGGCTGATTCCGATCGGGGGCGATGTAGCTTCCATGAAGAGATGGCGGGAGACACTGGGTGATGAGCTTTTGCAAAACACCACCAACGGGCGCAAGCGCTTTGACGCTCGTCCGCATTTGGACGCGAGGAGCGGCGACGATTCTCACCGGTCAGACTCCTCTGATGAAGACGAAGATAGTGATGGGGATGACGATAAGTAACTAAGAACAGTAAATAGCTTTTAGAAAGAGCAGAAGCAAGGTCGCGCTCGTCGTGCAACTCGTTGGCTGTGTACATGATGAAGAAAGGGGTATAGTATCGTAGTGGTTTCAGTGTATGTTCGACGGCAAAAGCTAGGAGAGCTACCTTCTACAAAACGACAGAGAAGCAAGATCATTATGCTTTCAAGATAGACGCTACCGCCCTTGGAGGTCTTGGTCATCGCATGCAAGTTCACTCTTCGAGAAGTCCTCGACCAGTCGCGCCAAGAAACTTCTTTGTCTTTATTTCGTTTCACTTGACTATGGTTAACTGCTTCTAATGATACCGACGAGGACTTGCCCAATGTGTCGGCTCGTAGGCGAGTTGCTGCTGGCTGTCGGCGGAGTTATTTTCACGTGCGCGATTGGCACCCGGGAAGACTCCGCAGGGCTCGCAAATGCGTAGGGGTGGAGTTGGATGAATGCGCTGGGCAGCAGTGGTCTTCTTTCGGAAAAAATCCGGACGATGAGGAATACAACTACACTCCTGACATCCACTGTGATGTCATGATATCCCTGAAGTTCCTTCTCCATCTGCTCCACCACGGTGAAATAAAATGTAAAGACATTGGTAAAAGAATAGCAGTGCACTGGCGCGAGGATCGACTCGAGTAAACTATATTAATAAATAGGCTGCTGTGGGAACAAGGGCCAGCTCCAAGAATGTATCTATGTACAAGTACAACGCAGTTACTTCTACTTAATATCCCAGCAACAACAAGATCTCGATTGGGTGACTGAGGACGAGAACTGTATTGTTGCGCTGCAGGTGTACATTACAAAGTTTTCGCTCATACTGATACTTCTACGCACCATTGTGATGTTCCTCATTATCTCGTGGCGCACATTACTGTTTTCGTCCCGATTTGGAAGTAACTTGAAGGCATTTATTTGATTTTTGACACTGGTTATTTCGCACAACAAGAAAGACACCGACGAGTCACTACGAATACGCTGATGATCCTTTCTAGATCAGATGACACCAACTCGGAAAGTGGAGGAACATGATGACATGGCGAAAAAGTGAAGTAGAAGCAAATGCAGCTGCGCGTTCTTTGTGCAGAAGCAAATTTCCGCAGTAGACAGAGCTCAGCTCACAAATTTCCGTTGTAGACAATGGCGCGTTCTCCATGTCTGATACCTCGAACCGCGGCAAGTTGACAACCGAGCTCCTTTTGTCGTTGAGAGAAATTGCGTTCTTATCGATCCTTTACATTTAGTAGATTTACATTATACCGCTTAATACAGCCATTGTCGTGCTCCCACAGTTTACTAGGTACTATCTTCACATAGATCCTACAACACAGACACGTACAAGGCCAACGTGCATAGACCAGTCGATATCCCATTCCGTACGCACTAGCACCGAGACGAAACATTAAGATCAAACTTCTTTTTTCTGATGAATTTACGGCACTAATTCCGCAACATGACAGGAATTCTGCTACTGAATTTATACTAGAGTTAGACTTTTTGCGCCCGATATCGGGTCGAGTTGCTCGAGTTGCTCGAGTTGAGCGAGTTCCATACCAAAAAAATTTGCGCTGCGCCCTTCGGGCGCACTATCTTCGAAGCGTCAAATACGTTGCCCAGGGGCGCAAACCACCTGCACAAGCGAACGCCTCCAGTAGCGCCCTCTCTTCTCTGCGAGGCGCTGCATGCGCGGGGCAGACAAGTAGAGCAACGCCACCCAGGGCCCTGCCCTCATAGTTTTGCGTTACTAAGATAGCGCGCCTGCCTGGTATAGCTGCTGTCCTATAAAACAAGCACACAAATAAACCTACTCCATTCCGATCCCGATGCGTCTACACTACTCAGGGGGGCCCTGCTTGTGATGCTACCGCTACCCACTAGGCGGCGCGCTACTCAGTAAGCCCACTACAGCGCAAACAGGGGCCCCAAGAAGCCGAACAAGCTGGCCACTCACCAGCAACAAAAAAACAGAGCCAGACCGCGACCGACATCAGCGCACGACCATGCAGAGACACCGACACCGCGAGGAAATCGCTGCACTTCACAAGGCTTGCGCGCGCGCCACTCAAACAAAAAAGGCCCCGAGTTCGCCTTCATACTTTCGCTAAGCCCAAGCCCCGAAGAGCTCGGCCGGGGCGTGTCTCTTTAATACAAACGACAGATCTGCCACGAAACAACTGGCCACGAGCTTCCCCCTGAACTCCGCGGCATCTTGGCCCGCCATACCGCCGCGGGGTGCTGCGCTTTCAAAGTGGCAAGCTGCCGAGAGGAACTCGTTAGCAACTCGCTCCGGACTGGGCGCGTGAGTTTCGGCAACTCGTGGCAACTCGAGAGAACTCGAGCAACCCGTAACTCGAAAAACGGGCTACTCTATTATACTGTCCTCGTACAAATTCAAACTATAGCGACCACAAAGGAGACACTGACTTCCTTAGCGCTTTGGACTTTTCAATGATGAGCTGGACATTGGGTAGTTGTATCAATGAATTATACTAGGAAAGTTTATAGCCTCTCCAGAATTGGATCGGTGGGCACGCTTGCCACGCTGGGCCGCTGGGCGGCCCAAAAGTGGGCTATCTGCCAAAGATGTCGCCCACCGCGCGCCCACCGTGAGACTTTGTGCCAAAAATCGGGGCGCCCTTCGGGCGCCTATTTCTGAAGCCCCCCTGCATAGTAAGCGCATGCGCCCTGGATCCGCAGCAAGCTGCATACGAATCGGGGCGCCAACCTACTGGCCCGCCTGGGAATATCCCTCAGCAGCACTGGCCGCGCATTGCAGCAGAGCACTGAGGCCCATTGCAGCGCTGCGCCGCACTCTTCTCTACACACCCAGGCGGCACTGCAGACAGCAGCGAAGCACCGCAAGCAGCGAGAACGTGGCCGCTCCGCGAAGAAGCACAGCGCCGCGCTGCCCTCGACTGCGGCCCTGTACATTGGCAGAAGCAGCGGGCCAACGCTATACGCGCCCAGCGTGCGCCCACCGTGCCCCTCATGTGTGCCAAGGGTCCGCCCACCGTGCCAAGCGTGGCCGCCCAGCGGCCCAGCGTCGCCCACCGTGCCCACCTTCCCACCGTCTATAAACTATTCTATTATACATCGTCCTTCTCCTTATTGAAGTTGCTGAGTTAAATCGGTGCCATCAATACAACTCCGCTTGAGAAAGAGTCCTAGAGGACGTCGAAGACAAAGTAATTTGTACCTTCTAGCTTCTTTTTCTTAATAGTTATCATGTCCTGAGTCGCAGGTTCTACGGGAAAAATACGCAGGCTGTAGGTTCTTTACGAAACTTGCTTGAACTACAAAAAAAAGTGGGTCTGCTGTCAGTGAGTTGAAACATTAACAGAATGTTGAACTTGTACTTGAAGTTGAAAATCAAGATGAAGATAATAAATTCAGTAGATAACTACACTGACTCTGAAATATATCGAAAAACCACGCTGATGATGCTACGGTATAGTGCCGACGTAGCCTGCACCTGCTGCCACTCCTTTAACCAAGCTCATTTGCGTACTTATCATTGGCATTGGCTCCGCTTATGCCAGAAAACTCCTGGTTGTAACCGCGGCACCGATTCACTGCTTTAAAATTCGTCTCTCTTGTCCTCGTCCTCGAGCGCGGTGCTTCCCGCCACTTTCACACTCACTAGCCGCTAACAGTAAGAACTGCGTCGACCAGCATTTTCTTCAGATGGATTGTGTTTGTGTTCTCTGAGCGTACGGCGTTACGCTCTCATGTTGTAGTTGCCGGTTGGATGTCTTCCTCGGGTTGGCCGTCATTCAGAACCTCTGCCGTGACAGCAGACGCGTCATGCCTACAGCCGTACCGTCGTCCGACTTCTGCAGCAACAAAGCGCCAGGGTTCTCGACGCTCAGTTCCGCTCCCATGCCACGCAGCACTGCGTCACTCGTTACCACATCACCGATGCGGCCCCCTCCAGCTCCAGCCTGTTCTCCGACGTTGTCCCGCATCACCTGCGGGAAGCTTTTGTGAATGCCGCCGATCATCGGAAGTTGCAGCTCCACCTCAGAATAGCCGCAACCGTAAGTAGTCTAGGTTCGGGATCGGGTTCGGGTGGACGGTGCGGCTCTTCCCTTTGATATCAAACTCGTAACCGAACTTGTGTTAGGAGATGATGTAACTGGAGAACCCAGGCGTCACGACCAGGACCAGCGCTGGCATAAGGTTGTGCAACTCAGAGACACCTCCCAAGATCTGCACCGCAGGGAGCTCAGAGAGGATCATTTTCGAGGGGTTGCAGACAAGTTTCCGGATGCGGCGGTTTCTCTGCTCAGCGCAATCAAGCAAGTGTTTCAGCAAATCGTCACCACCCTTCATCTCTGGAAACAGCGGCACTCGCAAGTACGAAACGCTCTGCGCCGGCAGCGAGGCCCAATCGTGCGCCAGTATGATCAGCATCAGAACCAGAAGCAGGGGTCGTGGGGCGTGCTGTCGGTAGTTTATCTGCCGTTTCTCGTTCTCCACCGCAGAGCGCGGTTACTAACTCGCCGAAGTCGACGATGGCTGGATCCGAGCGGAAGTTATGCCTCAGACGGATCTCAACCGGAGAGATTCTATTTTTCATCGGTCCTGGTCCTTGAAGTGGAAGTGCTGGAGCATCGACCAAAAAGTCTTTCATCTCCTCGCGAAGCCGCCTGGTCCGCCCCTCGGCGACACTTTGCAGCGGATCGACGGCAAGGGTGAGTCCGCGCGGGTCCGCTTTTGTGCAGCAGACGTACCGCAGCAGAGAGAGCTGGCAAACGAGCAGATCTTGCGACTCGTCGGAGAGAATTGCGTCAAACAGTGGCGAACCTGTGCAAGCGGTATTGGACAACTATGCTTTTGAGTGTAAGTATGTTGCAATGCACAACTAGCACGATCTTGATTTGCGGATGGATTCACTAGTAGAGAGGCTATGCAACTTAAACTTTCTGCCTACAACAGCTTCAGCGTATGGAAGAAATGAACTCTATCTCATACCTATTTTCATAAATATTTATATACATCATGTACATATTGCGATTTGATGTCTCTTTCATCAAGCAACTACAACTTGAATATTTAGTATAAGTATACTTAGTATGAACCTTCATGAATTTGGCTGCCCGCGAGGTGCTTGTGCGCAACACATCTCAGCGTGATGTTGGCATATACGTCGACCGCATCCCAGCCCTGGACCTCTTCGCGTAACCACTTGTCGTAGAGCGAGTACAGAGCAGCATGGGACGGAGCGGTGGCGGCTTGTTTCCTAGCATTCATTTTCGGGAGGGCTGGCGTTTGCTCTTGAAGAGCCATTGTTTTGTAGCAATCTCTTCAAGTTGTTGCGGCGTAGTACTAGCTGCGGCTCCCTCCTCGTTCGTTCCTGCCAAAAAATCCAAGACACATTTCCTCCTGTCTTCCAGAATAACCCGGTAGGCCTCCTCGGCCGTAGTGGTTCCGGGAAAGGATTTTTTCCGTGTCGCTGAAAGGTAACCTCACTGCCGTGTCCAACAGGTTGCCGCGCTTTGCCTCCACTTAAAGTTTTTCCGAGCCGGTCACCGACATGACACCACTGGAACGCCGTGTCACCGTAGAAGCGCCTGGAGTTGTTGTTGGGATCTGGATCTGATTGATTGGGGTCACGCAGTTTTCTTGTTCCAACGAACTCATCCATGGTGGCAGCTACGGATGAATCAACCTCACAAGATCGAAGATGTAGATGAAGTTGAAGATCAGAACTTCGTATTAGTTAGTACTTCATTAGACACCAGAAGGTGGTAGTGTTACATCTGTGCATTTGAATTGCATTGTGTCTGGAATATCGATATTGACAAACGAGTACGAGAGACCATGTTGTTCGCCGATAAATATAGCAGAAAAAGGAGCAGGACCACCAAAGAGGAAGATCAAGAGGAGGATAAGGGAAAGAAAAGGATGAGTAAGGGAAGAGTGCACTTCTGTTGAGTAGAAAACTTCTGACTCGTATCGTGATCTGAGGGCATCTCGAAAGAAAATTCGATTGCCAATATTATCCTTATTCATTAATAAAAAACTTTTTCTTCATCAGTAACGTCATCCATCATGCATGACACACACGAAAATTCCCCTTGGGAGCAACAACGTCAAAACTGTACAGTTTTTGTTAGCCTTTTAGTGTGGGAAGCAAAGAGGCACGCGACGAAGCGCGGGAGCATCTAAGCCTTTGGTTTCTTTGTTCAATTTTAAAGCAATCGCATCCCGGTTTCCTTCCTTCTTTTTCGGTCATCTGTTTTCCCTTTTCGGTTTTTTGTTAAAGAAACAAACAAGTGAAAAACAAAGAAGAAGAGAAGAGAAAGATAAAGAAAGGAATTGATCTCAACTGCGATATAATAAAGAAGATTTCACCTGCCGACAGGGGTTGACTGATCGAGCAGGCGGAGGAATTCGTCGAATGAGAGAAAAAGTGCGCCGCGGCTGGCTGACGTCTGTAGTTCGCACAGAGAGGTGACGAGTTGACCGCCACGGCCCTCCTTCGCAAGCGCGGTCCCGCCTAAACGCTTGTAGGAATTCTCGATGGAGCGCACGAGGAAGGGGCTCATCGAGGTGAACAACGCCAAGCCCTTCTGTTTGTCTTCGTGCTCGAGTGCTCGGTGCTGCAGCAGCGTCGTCTTCGCTGTTCCGCTTTGACCATGAAGTAGCAATGGGCCTTCTGTATGCACGGCGTGCTGTTGCTCGAGCGTCAACTCGATATCCTGCGCGCGAGCTTCCGTGATCGTGCTGGAGGCAACGCCATTTTTTGATGATGTAGAACTTATGACTTGTTCTGTTGTAGAACTAGAACTTGTCGTCAACGGCCTCGCCGCGGCCTCATCGTGTTCTTGATGTAGACCACCACCTCCTTGCCGGGGAATTCGTAGGAGGCTCAGTTTCAATTCTTGCACTGACGTCGTACTGTTCTCGATTTTCTTCACGAGTTCGCCGCGCATCGTCGAGAGATTTCCCTTTCCACACAGCCCAGCCAGCACGACCAGCTCGAACTGAAAGGTCCCCTCATGCCATGCAATACACGTTGCGTCAGGTCCAGGTGACCGATTCGGGTCTTCTCGCACTTGGTTAACACCGCCAGCCGACTGCTCGATGCGAACCGGCCTCACGTACCGCAGCACGTAGTACTGCGACGGCACGGTTCTGGCGAGGTACTAGGGACTCACCATGGTGACCTCGACGGCCAGGCTTGCAAGAAAGCCGCGGTCCATCAGGAGGCCACGAAGGCAGCTGTCGTCGTGTCTCGCTTTCTTGTTTTTGTCGATGCTCTTCTCGATCGTCTTAGTAAGAGCGGATCGGCTCCGGAGCTGTTCGATCAGCTCCTCCCGAAAATCTTGGTTTGTGCTGTCGAGCGTTTTCGCGATCTCGATGAATGCGGCCTCGCGGTGGACGCGAGCAAAAATGGCGCCATTTTGCGGATTTCGAAATGAAACAACTCAGATTGCTGTTGAGGTTAGGTTGTGGACTCTTCACTTTCACATGACGATTCAGCTTCAGGTTGATTGTTGATACAACAACCTAAAATACGTATCTTGATAGAATAAATTGTGTCAGTTTGCCTTTTATTTCTTACTCAGCAAGATCCACTTCCACCTTTCTGCAAATGCGTACAGAGCCACACGATGTGGGGGGGCGACATCAAGCTCCACCACCAAGAATTCCTCCGCTTTGATACTAGTACCTTATTGAAGAAACTGTGAAAGAAAGAGAATCAATCTATAAGTACAAACAAGAAGTTAGAGTAACGAAAGAACAGATGAGTCACGTCAACATGAAGAAATGGGGCCGTAATGACTACGGCATATGCAAGTACAAGCGAAAAGCGTCGCCCACGGTCGCAACTGCCTGACCATCCCGAGGCCCATCGCCTCAAGCATCTGGGGGACGATCATCACCATCATCATGATCATATAATAGTAGGATCGGAAGAATCAGGGGGGTCCATCCGATCCATCCAAGTCCATCCTACATCCGTTCTATAAACTACTCTATTATACGATCATGATGATGGTGATGATCGTCCCCTAGATGCTTGAGGCGATGGGGATCATCACCATCATCATGATCATTATCATATAAATATTAGTAGTAGTATTGCCATGTCACCGGCAGTATCTGAATCTGATCCCGACTTCAGCTCCATGAATCGATTACATCCTACCGAGTCCCTGTCTCGATCCTTGCAACTACGATATTGGGTCGTCCACTCCTGCCCACCTCTTCACGTACAATGGGAATGGGTAAGTCGCTCTCGTCGCTCATAGATGATGCCATGGATCACGACGCCAAATGATATTTTCTTTTCGAGGTACTTAAATTTATCAATCGAGATCTCGATATCGAAGATTTGCTCATCATGCAGGGTGTAGTTTCTTCACCCATGAGAACGAGGACGTGTCCTCGTACAGACGCGGATTCATTCCCATATCTCTTACGTGTCGCTATGGGTACTAGTTGCAAGTGTTCAGGTATTGCGCCTGAGTAATGATGTCATGATGAAACTTTTAGGGTTTGAATGCTTGAATTAATGGTTTGTTAAGAAACGAGTACGAGACCGAGAGTGATCACTTTTTTCCCTGAGAGAAATTATGTATCAAAAATTTTCATTTGGAAATTTACAAAAGAATACGAAAAGTATGATGTGAACCTAGCATGATCATTGATTTTGTCCAAAATTACAAAACCGAGATGAAGAAACAAAATAATGGTGGTCCGGTCTTTGCCAATTCTCACAGCAGGAGCACTAGTATACGACAGTGTGAGCCACCTGCTTTTTGTCCAGCGGTATTACACCAATGTCCATGGTAAGACAGGCGTTATCGTTCATGTGCATGAAAAATTATATATGTAGATTCAACATAGACATACTAACGTTAGTTCTTCTTCTTGCCTAAGCGAGAAGCCCTTACGGGGGGACACACATCTAATTCTGATAGATTGCAATACTGCGTCCTTCTCTATCGACTATTAATCGTCTTCGTCTTCATCCTCGTTTCATCTCTTTGTTTCTTCGGCGAGCGGCTTTTTTCCCTAGGTTTTCCAGCAGTGGCATTTTCCGGGATCTACTTGAGCTACTCTCGGTTCGTCGGTTACCTGGTTCGTCGGTTACCATTCTGTCACGCTCGGCTGCTCTGCGTAACCAATTACAACTAACGGACAGCCCAACCTGAAAGCCTAAGCACAGCGTAACTCCTACAGGTAACGTGGGCTCAAATGTTGGCGCCGCGCCCGAAGATGATTCTCCTCCTCTTTCTTGCTCTAATTGTTGCACACGACTCTCCAGTTGCTGGTGAGCTCCTGATCCTTTCTGTAGCAGTACGTCTTCTTCACCTCTGCGATGTTCTCCTTCTTTCCTTCTTGTACTTCTAAGTTTTCCTTCCACATCGATTTGATTCAGGGTAATGTGTATGTCATTTTGATCCTTTTGTTGCGCAGATTCTTCTTCATCATGTGTATGTCCGATTGCTTCCATCAAAGAATCTCCGATAGAAGAAGAGCCATTGCCCCGCCGCCAAGCCTCACATACTGGGGCTCCCTGGATCGCATCCTGCGGGGCTGGAGTCCAAAAAAGGATCCATAGGGAAAGACTCGGCAAGAGCCAAGCCAGTGTGCGCCTCCAACAGAAACGGGACTGTCGCACGGCCTTTGCGTAAGTTAGAGGAAGAGGTGCCATCAACTGCGGCACCTTAACCCAAGTTGAAGTTGATCTTCCAAGAACTTTTAATGCCTATAGATACGTCTCATCAATCTCATACTTATACTTAATATACTTTCCAGTGTTGAACATAATTGACCACACACAATAAAGAGAAAGAAACCTCTAAAAGGCGATGGCGTTAGTAGACACAGATTGACTTCTAGATAGAGACGATGCATGGTTCATCTTCAAAATACTCGTACCTATTTGTTTTCCTTTTCGTAAAAAAGGTTTAATTTTTCCATTATCATCGATTTCAGCAGCGGCAGTGAGTGAGAGGTAAACGCCGCACCCGACGCAGACTGATGGACACGGGTGAACGAGGCCCGCGGCAACTAATCCGAACATTTGGTCGTCCTGGACGCAAATCGGGGTCCCGCACATGTGTAGGAAGCACGTTATAAACGTAAGGCCAATCCCAACCTTGGCGATGCGATCGAATGACTCATGTTTTTCCGCTGACCACGCACCCAAAAAAAGAGAGCAAGATTCATCACGCGAAGGCGAATCGCAGCCAGAGTCAGCTTTATGCATGTTGTCTTGATGAAGATCCATCCGTTCTTCATCGTCCACCTGCTTATTTTTTATGGCTTTATCTTCTGATGTCCTCACAGATGCAGAACCAGGTGGATGGTGGTGAGTAGAAGTGCCTCTTGTTCTCTCCTCAACAAATGTTACTTGATGACAGCACTGTCGTAATCGTTCACTTGCCCTCGAAGAAGATGTTGCATTTGTTTTCCCTGTTGTACTTGGAGAGCTCCGGCCCTGCTTCTTGGCTCTACCGTTTGCGAGAGGAGCAGAAGCCTCTGTTTTCTCAGCACGACCACCCTCGCCGTCTGAGGCTTGCTCATCGACCATTATCGTAGATCATTTTAGAGGATGAGCATGAGGTTGCCACCATATAAATATCGCTTCGATCCCTCGACTTCATCTTATTTGATATACCCAACAAGTACTTCTACTTCGCTTGTTTTACATTTTCTTCATCAACGAACTAAGTGAGTAACACTATCACTAACACTATTAAGTACAACATGAACATTCTGTAGGGGTGTTTGTTGTAGCAAACTCAAACAGAACGCCAGCATCATAATTCTGTATGATCTCGAGCAACAGTTTGCTGTTCTTGCTGATCACCGTCGTCCAAAACCGCCTGCCAGAGTCCTTCGAATTCCTGCTTTGTGTCGTGCCAGCGTTGCCGATTCATACTCGCCAACTTGCGCGTTAATTAGAAGAGGCCCTCGTGTTAGTTTTGGTGTTTGTGTTTCCCGTTTCTTCTGCCTTTCTCCCTTATACGGGAGGCAAAGCAAACGGTATTAACACCAGGAGGAGCACCTTTAATTTCTAGCTAGAAGCAATGCTACGGGAGAAAAACAGGTAGAAGAAGAAACGAAATGCAAATGCTTCAACCTCCCTTAAGTTAAGTTCTCTACAAATTCTCGGAACCGCTGTCCGCACTGCCTCAGCAGGCCTGGCTGCGCCCTCTCGAAGTCCTCTCGTTCCCTTATGAGCCTATCCAGCTCCGCTTCATCCTCTGCATTTATGTCAACCACTGAGCCGATGGGAGCGACAGGAGAAGGAGCACTAGTATGAAAAGAAAATCTGTTATCATTATCATACTTTTCATCTTCAGAAACTTGATAGATAATGATAACAGATTTTCGCTTCATAACTAGGTCTAGGATCGTCCTGAACTACTCCACAAGAAGTACTGGATGTCGATCTTCTCGCTGTGCTGGATTTAATAGTATTAGTTGTACCTTGTTTCACGCCAGAATTCTGCTGTAGCTGCTTTGAGTTTGAGTGAGGCGTTGATGAACTACTGCTGCTGCCTCCTCGTGCCCTCCTTTTGCAGCTCTCGTTTCCTCCATTTTTTTTTTTACTAGACGATGGACTACCATGTTGCTCCCCCGTGGACTTAGAACTTCTAGAAGGAGATTTTGAATCTTTTAGTTGTAGATTGTTAGTTCCAGCGCCACCACCCTTGTTGTAATTTCCTAGGAACGCCGTTGCCTGCTGTGCCTGGGCAGCGACCTGCATGGCTTTATCAGCGATATCACAGCTCTTTTCCACCTGAGCCATCCACTGATCCGCATCTTCTACCTCGGCAGCGCGCCTATTAATAATATTAGAGCATGCCTGAGGATGTCCCTGCTGACGATGTAGAACATGCAGAAGATGCGTGCCGACATCGTTCTACATGCGACGTGCATCCCTGAGGCCATCCCTGGACCCGTTTCCCCCTTGAAAAAGAGGCCAGGGATGATGCTGGGGATGCTCGCTTGGTCGCCTTAATATTATCCTCAGAAGCCCCAGGACCCGAGCATGAGCTGCGACCTCGACATTCTTTTTGATGTTCATCTTTTTTACGTGGTTTGCTAGGACTACTTCTATGAGCTACTGGTTCATCCTGTTGTAGAAGGGATGCAGTTGTAGTAGGAGTAGAAGTAGCACTAGTACAAGTATAATTCCTAGAAGTCGCACTCGTCGCACTTTTAGAATTAGATGTGCTTCGGCTGCTGCTAGCGGCTGTGATCTCGAGGTCTCCTAACCTCGTGCACAATGAGTCCATGTCTGATCCGCTTGTTCCGCTACGAGGAAGAGAGGGCACTCGTATTGCAACCGTCGAGCAGCAGATGGAGTCCCTACTAGCAACGGGAGAGGTAACGGGAAAAATGGAAGTTGAACTACTGGTACAAATGGTACACTCTTTCTTACTATTCTTTCTCCTAGTGGTCGTAGTTGAAGAAGGAGAATCCGTCGAAGGGCACGCGTCTAGGTGGCGCAACTCACGATCGACGAAAGAGAGAACGAACTCGCGAAGTCTCGCTACGGTTCCAGAGTCAGAGTCTTGTAACGCGTGACATAGGTTCTTTAGTTCCTCATGATCCTCAGAGGGTTCTATTCTAGTAGTAGTACCTAGTAAAGGAAAAGCAGAGGAGGTACTAGAGTCTTCATGTGTGTCCTCGAGGAGCGTTCTGGAGACGGCACCCTCTCCGCCTCTTAGTGACGCTGACGATGTCGGACCCACTACTTGTGAGGCCTTGAAAAGGCTAGCAAGGATCGCCCGTTGCAGGTCTTCACGCATAGAAGTGGAGGCCGCGTTGAGGTCTTCCTGCCATAAAAAAGCGTCGCCTTGCTGCAATAACTTGGAACTCAACGCAATTCACTTCTTGCCTGCATTTCTCCAAATCCTAAGAAAGGAATAGGGAGAAATGCGAAGACGTGTAGGAATGAATGGCATCCATTGTGCCTTAAATAGCTGTAGTTGCTGCTTCGTGCTGTCTAGTTCATCCTCTTTTTGCTTCAGTTTTTGCTCCAAGAGCTTCTTCTCACGGTCTAAGGCCGAAACTTGCCCACGCAAACCTCGACATGCATTCTTCGCGTCATGCATCGCCGTCGCGTGAGCCGTCTATTAGCGCTTTAGTACAGCAACAGCTTATTTCTAGTAGGTAAAATATTAGTATTTATAGTATTAGCAATTCCCAGAAATCTCTTAAGGAGCTCCCTTAAGGAGCTTCCTTAAGGCGCTTCCTTAAGGAAATCAGTTTCCTTAAGGAATTTTTATTATAAAAAGTTATTATAACTTTCCTTAAGAGGAAAAAAATTCCCTTAAGGAGGTCCCTTAAGGACAAGCTGTTATAAACTTGGGCTAATAACAGCGGCTCCTTAAGGACCTTGCTAGTACTACGAGTCCAAAAGTGTCAAGAACGTGCTAACGTGTTCGCGGCTGTTAGTTTGTAGGCTACTCACGTACACCAGCCACATCCGCAGCAAGACACTACGCGCCCACCCCTAGCGAATCGCCCCAACGAACTTCCAACCGCTACCCTTGTCATATATCGCCCAGCGCCTTTGCTTTTTTTCAAAAACTTCAGGGAAGTCATTCAAACACAGAGAAAACTGAACGACCTCCCTGAAGTTTTTGGAAAAAAGTTAGCTCGCTCCCCTTCCGCGACTACCTTCCGCGCACAGCAATCGACCACGGCACAGGAGCGCGCGGCCGCCCTTGGAGGTCGATGGTTGACCAGTATACTCCTAACCAGCACAAAAGCGGGAGAATTGTAAGGGAGAGGGTGAGCACTTGAAAAGGTAGAGGCTGACGAGCGTGATCGTATTGATTCGCGAGAAGGCCAAAGACATACATCTCGGCGCTTCAAAGTCGTAGCCGTTGAGGATGTCGATGGCTGTGAGAATGATAGCCGTGCGCGCTTGCGTGTCTGAAGGGTGGACCCTGGTGAGCATCATCATATCCATGAGAAGGCCAAAGGTGTGCAACTTTGCGTGTGAAAGTCGAAGCCGTTGAGGGTGTTGATGTCTGTGAGAATGATAGCCGTGAGGACTTGCATGTCTGAAGGGTGGACCCTGGTGAGCGTCATCATATCCATGAGAAGGCCAAAGATATACATCTCTGTGTATGAAAGTCGAAGCAGTTGAGGACGTCGATGTCTGTGAGAATGATAGCCGTGAAGATGGACTTGCATGCCTGAAGGGTGGACCTTGGTGAGCATCATCATATCAACGAGAGGGCCAAAGACATACATCTCTGTGCGTGAAAGTCGAAGCCGTTGAGGATGTCGATGTCTGTGAGAATGATAGCCGTAGCCGTGAGGGCTTGCATGTCTGAAGGGTGGACCCTGGTGCGCGTCATCATATCCATGAGAAGGCCAAAGATATACATCTCTGTGCTTGAAAGTCGAAGCCGTTGAGGATGTCGATGCCTGTGCGAATGATAGCCGTGAGGACTTGCATGTCTGAAAGGTGGACCCTGGTGAGCATCATCATATCCATGAGAAGGCCAAAGATGTGCGTCTCTGTGTTTGAAAGTCGAAGCCGTTGGGGATGTCGATGCCTGTGAGGGTGATAGCCTTGAGCACTTGCGTGTCTGAAGGGTGGACCTTGGTGAGCGTCATCATATCCATGAGAGGGCCAAAGGTATACAGATTTGCCTGCGAAAGTCGAAGCCGTTGAGGGTGTCGATGTCTGTGAGAAAGTAAATAAGGGTGGACCTTGGCGGGCGTCATCATGTCCATGAGAAGGCCAGGCGCATGCATCTCCGTCGGTGAAGGCTGAAGGCTGAGGACGTCGATGCCTGTGCGTGAGAATGATAACTGTGGGCCATTGCATGTCTGAGGCGCGGACCGTGGTGGGCGTCTTGCGTCATGTCCATGAAACAGCCAACCCTATAGACACATCCCCGCGCCTGAAGGTTGGGGCCCAGCTTCTGGCTCTGCGCATAGATATGCCCAAGCGTGGCCTTCTCATGGGCCTCGCCCATGACGCTCGCCAGTGTCAGCCTTTTGCCATCCCATGGGTATGCTATGCTTTAGGATTCTCCTGGACATGATCACACTCAAAAGGGCCCAACCTCTGTGCCTACATATGTCCAAGCGTGGCCTTCTCATGGACTCCATGACGCTCAGCGGGCCAGCCTTGGCGCCCATTGGCTTGCCCCTAGCAAGCAAGTTGGCCAAGGCAGTAGCCATAGCGGTAACCTCCTCACTAGCCTCGCCACAGTGGGGGCCAGCTTCCCAGCCTTGGCGAGCAGACTTGGCAACTTTTTTCGTTTGTCTTTCTGTCTCTTAGTAGTCAACCTGTCGAGTTGTTAACCTATGCCCAGCGCAGCGGGCCCTTGATGGGCCCGCTTTCTGGGCATGTACTAATACTAAAAATATGTATCTCTAATATCTTAATTAAATTAACAGAAACAGACTGCACTCTTGCTCTGTTCAGAAACATAAATTTTTGGCTCGTTGATGAAGTAAATCCATCAGAAATCAACTGAGAGCGTGTTACTCAAGCAAAAGTGATCGCCCAGATCAACAAGAGTCTTCTTAAGTCTTTGCAGCGGTCTCGAGGGAATCGCGCTCTCGCTGAAGCTTCTTCGCTTTCTCTTTCCACTCTTGCTGCTCGATCCGCAAATTTTCGACTTTGCGAGCCATTTCTTGCGAATTCTCCGACTCCGGTTGCGGATGCGGATCTTGTCTTAGAAAAACAGACATGGTCTTGGTCATGAGAAGTTTATTTCCTGTTCTGCTTCTGTGCGTTGCTCTTGTTAAATGATGATTGAAGTCGAGTATTCATCGTTCTGTTTCACAATTTTGCTCCATCCAACAAGAAGATAGAGCTACACTGACTTCTTCTACCAAAGGGACTTCGCCATAATGCAAAAATCTAGCTAGTAAGCAAACGCTACAAGTAGGCTTGCAACTCCGCCTTAAAAATACGAAAGTTTGCGGCCACGGGAAGCAGTAGCCTTCGTTCAATCTTCTCTCTGCGTCGGCGAGTGTGCTTTGCGTGGCACGCAGTTCCAACTGGAGTTGTAGAATCTCCTGTCCTCTGCCCATCAGTTGGGTCACCAGGTCTAAGGATGAGATCTGAACTCCACCCTGCCCATTCCACTGCCCCACGCCTCTTTCTTAGAACTACCCTTTTAAGTAATCCATCTAGGAGCTTCCAAGGTAAAGGTTGTAATCATGAAAGCAACACGTGAGGCAAGGGCAACACCAATGCTCACTACACTATCTTTCCAATGACCTAATGAATCGGGGATAAGCCCTGGGGTTTCTCCGGCGAGTAAGCCTTGCTGGGGGTTTCCCCGCGTAGGGGGATACTCTTGGGGGGTCATCCCTATGATGATGCGAGTCCAAATCTATTCGGGAATCTGCCTAAGATTTCCCTGACGACTTCTACTATATTAAGCTAATCTATTAGAGATGGATTCGAGCGGTAGCCTTAATCGTCGTCAGTGTCCTCGAACTCCACCTGTTCCTCCTGGCTTCCCGTGCCGTTTTCAGGCAGAATTCCCTCAGCTTCAGAGTTGTCGTGATTGCCTTCTTGGTCCATCATATGGTCATCGTTTTCACTAATATCGTTTCCTTCTCCGTCATGGTCAATGACATGGTCAATGACATGGTCAACATCGCTGTCAGGATCGCTAGGATTCTCCTTTTCATCACTGCCCGTCTCGATAACAGGGCTTCCGCTCCAGGCGTGGTCTGCAACTACAGTTTCACTCGAGGGTACAGGTAGAGCAGGATGGTAGGAAGTGGGGCTCTGCTCCATTTCTTGATCGCTTTGTTCTGATTGTGATGAGACTATGAGTGCAGCTCGCACTCGAATAGTCTCCTGGAGCAATGCAGCTACTGCGACCAGAACGACGCATAGCTGTTGTAACGACGATCGTTTTGCACTCATGTTTGTCATTTTTTCATTTGAAATGGAATTTTTCATGATTACTTTTACTAGTAGGAGAAACTGTTGTCAGGTGGAGTGAGGAATAATTCACAAAAATGGTGGAGTACGCTTGCAGTTTCAATTTTCACTGCAACACCGCGTCGCATGCATGCACCCTACAGCTTTGTTGACATTTTTTTGAACGAGCGATGTATCTAGAACGATAGGAAAAAGCTGATGCAACATGATTTCCAAACTCCAATATCATGCTCAGCAAGCTGTTCCAAATCCAACTTCTGCTACAGTTGTATTTGTAAACCTCAGAAACCTATCCTCGCACCACGGATCGCGCAAGATGACCAAAGTTTTTAGATCTTTGTTGTAGTTGTAGTTGATCGTGCTGTCTGTGTCTCTCGTAGTTGTTCACCACCTCCATGGCCAGATCAGCATGTATCTCACAAGAGCGACGATGTGGATGTTCCAACATCGACACAATAAACACTTCTGGAAGATGACATCTTCAAGGGAAGGCCACGCCGAATCACCTTTTGGTTTTTCTTTTTGTTTTTTGAAACAGTAAGAGAGGGACATCTTGATGGTTCAAAACCGATAATCATACACCTCTGGAGCATTCAGCTCTACGTTCGTCCGTCTTACTCGCAGCAAGTGCTTGCGCTATCATCATCTTCATCAGTGTGTTTCTCACATTTAAGTAATTACCATCAACTATCCTCAAGACGAAGGATGAATTCCTGAAGCGGTCAGGGATGCATGATCATTAAGATGTCATAGTCCCTCCATCGCCACCTAGTGCGAGCGCATAAGAAACCGGAAACTACCAGTCACGCCTGCAAACTTCATCCAACAAGTATGTTGAGCATAAGTAAAAATTGCTTATGTTTTTGTTTCGGTCTTTTTTTACGAAGCGGCCAGCACTGTTTCTGTCTCATCCACTATGCTTCGGGCCTGCTCCAACTGCTCTCATCCAGACTAATTTTTTCCATAGCTGCTTCCCGTACAAACGCCCAGTACATTGCCAAACGCCCAGTACATTTAAAGTCGTGGCGACTGCATGGTGCGAAGATGCTGGTATCGTGCTTGCGCAAGCGTGATTCTCGCGTCCTCTGTACTATTGACAGTGCGACGGCCTATTGACAGTGCGCTGTTGAATGCAGCTAGAAGAAGGGAAGATGTTCTAGAACTAGATGCTCTGCTTGCTAGATGGAATCGTCTGCACCACGATGCTCCTGGCGTTGCTACTTTTCATCTTTTTAGTACGTTTCCCCACGAATTCGTTCGGATGAAGAAAGCGCTCCGTTTCTGGTCCTGCGCGAACTAGATTCGCCGAAGCATCCCCAGAAAAGAAGGCCAGATCTGAATAAAGGGCATGGCGCCAGCAGGATTCCTTGTCTGTCACTTCCTCGATTACCATCTTGAATTCATCCTTATTCTCGCGATCCAACCAGTGCTTTATCACTACGCCCAGAGCCCACTTCCCCTCCGCTTCGTTGCTGCTCTCCTCGTCCCTCTTAAACTCGACCGATGTTCCGACGTCAAATTTGAAGTCTGCTCTCTTCCAGAGGCCGCCGGAAAACTGACTGTGTTTCGCCTGGTAAGCCGTTTCACCGGGTCGGTGGGTCTTGATCTTGGGAGGAGCACAAAACTTGGGCCTTGACGTATCCGGACCGCTCATGATGCTCGACGACCTTCGCGCGCCATGTGCAGGGCTGGCCATTGCCCAAGGCTACCACAAGATCGTCCCCCGGTTGCAGCTCGCCAACAGTTCCAGGCCCGTTCGATTCGAAGCCCTCGAACAGTCCGCCGTATCTAGAAGACTTCCTTCAATCCTACAGTAGGACTCGTGGTCCGTGTTCGGATCGATTCTCTTCAACGCGATTCCCTGAAAGCGTCGCTCCTGCCTCTGTTTGTCGACATACCTTCCGAGGTCGGCAACCTTCTGTGTATGATTCTGGTATTTGGTAACCTGAGTTTGATCCTAAGGGTTCTCTTCTTGTTTTCCCTTCTTCTGAAGTGATACAGATTCTCCTACTCCGACATTGAAGTTGAACTCAAACTCATGTACTTCTTAAGTACTTTTGGCTTTTTGATTTTATGAAAACAACAAGTAAAAGTGAGGAGGTATCAATATGAAAAATATGGATCATAGGGGAAGATGAGGGCACGACGAGAGTCTTTCAGCCGATTTCATTCTCAGGAGACATTTTCAGGACAGACGCATCAACCTTTACCTTCTGATTTTTTCTTTGTCGCAAATTGCTGGTATTTCTACCGATGTGTGCAACGTGACAAGTAAGTGTTAACGGAATGCTCATTCCCCTGAGTCGATCAAGAAGACTAACTACAGAATGACTCGCTAGTTGCGGCTTGGGTGAAATAGTCTCGCTTCGATAGCGAAACATTGTTTGGTGATTGATGTTGTTGTTGCCGTCTGGCTGATCGCCGAAATCTAATGTAGAGGCCCCTACTTCTAGTTGTTGAAACAGCAGCGATAGACAAGCAGATGAAAGTAGTACAGTAGCAGTACTAGATCTCAACGAAGTCTCTCGATGTACAAGAAAGAGAAATCCGGGATAAGATAGTAACTTTCTCAAGCTGCATCGGCATCTTCTTGTTTGTGCTCCTGATTAAGGATGGAAATCAAATGTGTTGACTGAATAACATGCGGTCGTCAAGAACGTCGAGCTCCTCCTGTAGGCAAGGAACTCGCCCACAACTAGTCCTATAGTCGTTGCGCAACAACTCCTCCCCCACCTCCACCTATGCTGGCGAGCTTCGTCTGCAGTCCGTCTATTTTCGCATCTTTTATTCGCACAAGTTGTTCCAACTTCTTTATTTTCTCGCTCATGAGGAGTATGGTCTCCCGCAATTCCTGTATCGTGAGACTACTCTCTTCTTGTTCGCGTTGAAGAATTTCTCTGCTAACCATGTTCTGCTGTCCGCCTCCTGCTGATACTCGTGTTCCGTTAGATCCTGTAGAAGCACTGGCAGCGCCTCCACCAGAGCTGGATCCGCCGACGACATTGCCGCTCATACTGGCGCTCTGTTGCTTTAGACCTAACCGATATTCATCACCTCGAAGTGCATCTTATTTGGCCATTTTCTCCTTGACTACCCGCCGTCAAAGATGCTTCTCAAGATGAATTATGGTAAGGGTCCTTAATTGCTGTCCATTTGCTGACACACGCGAGGAGGCGGCAGCAGTGGCCCCACCCTGCTGTGAGCCGCCACGCGGAGCAGAGGAGGCGCTGGCACTCCCTCTCGCACTCGCTGCAGGTGTGCCCGCAACACTCTCGCCTTGCTCCTGCTGCCGCTTATACCTCGCCATGTAATGCTGCATTAGCACCAAGACCTGGACTGGAAGTCAGGATTTCAATTCATTGAAGAAGTGAACTGAAGCATTCTCAGATGAGATTGCATTTGAAGTCAACATCTTCTACTACAACTAGTTCAGAATGAAGGCAACTACAATTATAGCAGAAACACCTGGTGCCACCTCATTTGTATATGGAAGAAGTAAAGAGTACCTTTTCAACAGCGCCTGGTACGGCTTTGATGACGTCCTCGATGTCGCTAGGATGCAACTGGAACCCTAGCTTTTTCAGCACTTTCTTGTTCATGGTATTCCAGTTGTACATTTTTTGCGCATAGCTGTTTGCAGCGCTGTAATTGTGCAGATCCACAAGGCGCGGGAAGTACCTGAAGAATTCCTCTACTCGAAAAACTGAAATAAGCGAGTAACTGATCAGAATAACCGAGATACTGATGAGAAGGAAAGGTAGCATCAAATCATGCCCATGCGAAGACCGATGGAATTTGATATTACTGGCAAATTTCAAATTCAAAATTTGAACAAGTTCTTACTGGCAAAGCACTTCCGCACAGAGTAGACCATCTGCGAAATCCCGGGAAATATTCTTTCTTGGCCTGCTCAGCTGGATATCGTCCATCCAATTGTAGATTCGCTGAATTTCTTCCTCGCTTTCGATTTCTCTCGCTTTTACGACTGACATCTTTTTCTTCTCGTGTTGATGACGATGAAATACAACAAAAAAGATGACGAGGATGTATTTTTAGTTTATGTACCTGTACTTACGACAAGAACGAACCTACTTAGTACGATGTCAATGAATTATGAGAATCTGAGTCAAACTTACGTGAGCCCTCATGCGCGACGTGGTCGGCCTCTTATTCCTACACTGAAAGAACTTGTTTTTGTTTCACTTTCTGTTTTGACGCGTAAAAGATAACTAAGCGCTTTTTGTTGGGTTGTCCAATCACCTAGTCGTGGCGTGGGGGCTGTTCTTCACTCGATCACTTTACTACATCCTATTCCCACCTCATTTCGTCGTGGACAGCAAGTGCAGACGAAAGGTCATTTTCATTTTGTTTGCTCCTCTTACTCGGCCGCTGCAACACGGCGGCAACAAACCATCTGTCATGCAATATAATTATCCGCACAAGAAGAGGTTCTGTAGAAACTCTGTGCATAGCTACTTCGCAGTCTGGCTTGCAGATGCATCGAAAGCAACTGCAACTACTGTCTCGCAAGAATGTCTTAGAAGATCAACTTACACGCTTACACTACGTCTCAAATGACCATGCACAGTCATCAACTCTCTCGAGGATTATTACATTCTATTATTTAAAAATCATGATTATGTCGATTATACTTCTAAACTCTGTTAGTGCCTGGAAGAATAAGGAAGACGATGTAAGTGTAACAAGATATCAAACGATCTGGTTCACGACATCAGATATACTTCCTGGAATCAATCACAAGTAAGTGATTTCTTTCATTTCTCTGTACCTGGAGTTTCATGATAAGTTCTTTCTGCTTAACATTTTGAATTCGACTTTCTTTATCCAGTTTATTTGATTAATACGATTATTAATGCATCACTCGGTACACCCACTCTCAATCGATCATTATGACATATCGATGCATTTTATGCTCAAGCTCACTGTGAATCGCTTACATTTTAGCAGATCTTGGATTTTATCAGGAGTAACTTGTGCGTAAACTTTCATACTTTCCATCTGCAGCTTCCTATCATAATTCAACTTCAACATAAAAACCCATAATAATCTGAAGAGTTACAACTCGGAAACCGAATAACAACGCTTGCAGTACAGCTAAGTAAAGCCTGTATGAAATCAAGCCTTTTCCGCAATAACGATGACCACGAAGGGACCAAGATTCTTTTTGATGTCATCGTCCGAACTTTCGGACGAAGCGCTGGTCGTGACTGCGGATCCACTGTTCCATTGATTAGAAAAGAAAAAGGAGTAGGAGCTCTTATTTGTTGTAAATATGCAGCTTTTCATCTGGACGTCGATAGTGGATTAATCAATCTGAAAAAGGAGCTCATATTTCTTGTTATAAATTAATTAATAAGTACTTACTTTGTTATGCTTATGGTTATGAAGGAATATATCTATAAGAACGAATCGAAGAGGATTCAGTGAAATGTAAATGAGAACTCTCACTTATAGTAAATTAATAGTACGGCTGCTTCTACTAGACTGCCTTTACGGTATTCCCCCCTGTGGCTCCAGGGTCCGCATCTGCTCCCGCGACTGCGGTGCCCCCTGACGTTGTCGCACCGAACTGCCGTAACGTACTCGAGCCCATTCCTTTCTGTGACTGCGACATTCGCAGTCCGGACTTGCAACGCAGATTGCAAAGCCGTGCCCGTTGCAGTCGTGTCCTCATCCACAATAAACCTCGCTCCTGAGGATGGAGAAAGTCAGAAGAACAACAGACTAGTATCAATTCATCTCAGGAACACGAACGTCACCAACGGATGCTCACTCTCTACAATCTCGCGTTTGGCCAATTGGGTGTCTCTCGTTCCTGTCTAAATGAACTGGGAGCATTCGTGAGTATCCCCCTCATCCCATCTCGTCTTGCTTACGAAAATTGAGGCACAGAGGACTCAAGGCTCGTCAACATCCACATCAATTTATTGCATCACTGCTTCTCGCCCTCTCTCTGCACTTCTGCGCTCAGTAGATTCACTTCTTCTACATCTACTGCTCCACCATAGAGACGACAAAGCCTACTCGTGCATCTACAACTTGTACTTCCTAGAAAGACACACGCTGATCTCTACTTGAGCAATGCTAATGCAATACAATACAATAAATCTCGCACAAAGCTCCGTGTAGATTGCCTCAAGGGCGTCGTAGTTGTTCGGCACGATGATGACTCAGCCACGTTTTTAAGCTAGTAAGAATAACTGCGAAGCGGTTCGAAAGTGAGCCTCGATGCTGGACTCCACACTCTGTCGACTTTGCGCTTTTATGACGCAGCTTGCCCAATGAAGAATAGAAAAAGGTAATACGATGATGATCAACCCAACAAGAGGCACTATATATGAGACCACGTCTGGGCCGCCGATCGTAGATCGTCGATGGGTGAAACTGCAATTCTGGTTCGGATACCTCAAAAGAAAATGCGGACTTTCCACTACGTCAGTGATTTTTGATTTGAACTTCTTGTTCTTATTTTCGACTTTTAACAATCCGGCGACCTCCATCTTGCTATCTAACTATGTATATCATAAAAATATGTTCTTGACGGACTATGTTGTACTGGATGATTAGGGAGCGTAGTTAAATATATTTCTATTTGAATATACTTACAAGCAATTCTAATCAAAAGGCACAATCTGACTGAATTACCTCAAACCCACTTGACCACGTGGAAAACGAGGGTACATGACATGACACGAACGCATCTTCTCTGTACTACAGATATGAAGAAGAAAGCGAACTAAGTACTTCTCTGCCTGGTGCCTTACATCTAAAACTTAATCGTCGAGACTCGTGTTGACTTGTATTACTCTCCTCATTTTTCTTCTTTTTCTCTTATAGCATCTATATCTAAGAACAAGAAAACTGACAAACGGGAAACAGTTCTCGACGCTCTGTCTGGGCTGGACTGCTCTACGGAAGCAAGGTCGGAAAATACCCTCCAAGCGTCCTGTCTGGGCTGGACTGCTCTACGGAAGCAAGGTCGGATGTGTAGTTTTTATCTTCAAGTGAGAAATGTGACTGTTTTAGTTGGGTCAAGAGCAGCAGCGGGCTCCGAATAAATTGCAGAAAGACAGCCAGCAGATGTGGAGAACAACTTCTTGCTTCGTCTCCGCTGATAAAGATAAACCATTTTTTTCTTTCCCTCGCAACTTTCTGCTCCTACCAGCTGCGACCTGAGAAGAAGGTTTTCATTTGATGCAGGTTGAAGCTCGTCATGATCTGAATCACCACCCAGGGGGGACGAATTATCTTTTGAAAGCAAGACATTGCCCGTTATAGTTACGCATCGATGTTGAGGCAAGGAATCGATGTTGAGCTTTTTCTACCAAAATATTTGTTGGCCACCATCTGAGTCTATCAAGAATAGGCGTGCTCCATCTTTTCGTACAGGCACACTACATGATACTTCCGCAATAAAAATAGAGGAAACAGGAGTGGATCAATTTGTCAACAGTCAACACCTAATAGGGGCATCGAAGTGCCGCACTGTTTCACTCTGAGGCATCGCTCACGGCGCTCCGCTTCTCTCCCTCTCGTCATGCTGGGAGAGGTTCCCTTCTCCCGCGGCAGACAGCACGAACGAGCCGTGATCACCATGGGACGACAAACGCCCTTCATCGTTGTTTTCCGCGTCGCTAAAAACTAGAACCGATCCGCTAAGAAAGGAAACGAGTCCGCCAAGCACAGCAGCCAGTTTAATTTTCATCGTGCTCGTTGCAGACATAAAAAACCCTGAGTTTTCCGCGACCAATCGATGCATATCTATCATCGTCCTCAGGTCGCTGCGACCCAAAGCGTGATGGATTGCCGCGCGATTGCTCCAGAGAACTGCGCCTGTGAGGATGCAACCCAAAACAGTCCAGGCCGATCTTTTCACCCAGGGTAGAACAGCACCAGTTTCCGTGAAGCCAAGGCTCAGAAAGACCTTCTTTGTCTCCAACTCGAGCTTTTCCTTCTTTAGAAGGGACGAAAATTGCTTGCCAGCCGTGTACTGCTGATAAAAGATTGTCGGATTGAAGGCTCCCCTACCGTCAACAGGACACGCTTCTATCGTTACCTTCAGGCGCAGCTCCTCTTCTTCGGGACCGTGATCGCGGGCGTGCTCGGCGTGAAAACTAAGGTCTTTCAACATACTGTCGAACAATTGCAGGCATTTCTGTTGCGGGGCAGGCACTACTCCAGGGCCGCATGTCTTCAGCCAATCCCGGACAAGAGATAACTCGGATTCGCTTGTAGTATGTCTTTCAACATCATGGCGCAGCAATCTGCAATCGACAACTCTTGTGAGACGATGTCTAGCGTGCGGACCAACTCCACTCACATAAATCTCGAGAGATTCGACCCCCTCCGAAGAGCCAAGTGGCCCGTCGCTTTCCACAGAGGTAGGATCAATCTCTACTCCCTTCTCGTACTCGTAATAATATGGGACTTTCAGGAGCTTTCTTTCAGATTCAGACGGCTTATCGCGTGCTTTTTGAGTTTCTTTTTCACCCGGTAGATCCGCGCTCGTGTGCTTTTTGCGCTCGTCGCGATCCTGCTGTGCGCGCAGAATCTCCAGTAGGGTTGGCTTCGTGGAGAGTCTCCCCTTGGTGATGTTCTCTTCGAGTGTGTACACCTTACAGGGTTTGGCAGCAGTCTTCCAATTTTCCAGGTCATGCTCACTCGCGTCGAACTCTTTCCGAAGAAACTTTGCATGGTATTCGATATCCCTCTCGGTGATCCTTTTTGCAAGAGACGACATGACCGCGGGTTGCACACCGCTCAACTGCGAGAAAACAGCACGAAGATCCTCCCAACTATACGAACTAATTGAGGGAACACGATGGAGTTCTGCGTTGTGCTTCTTGTCCGATTCCACAGCCGCCGGCTTTAGTTCTACGCCTATGTCTGTGAACAGAGCCTTCGCGGCCAACATATGATTTTCCAATTTCCTTTGGGCTTTGAAAGCCGAACCATATCTCCAGACACCTAGCCGCTGATAAAGCCACGACGTTGCCTGGTCGATATTCGCCCCATTGTTGCTGATTTTCGCTACGGAAAAAATCGTGGAAAATGATGTTCTGAATTCTTCGACGCCTTGTGTAAGGCATTCGCGGAAAACTCTGTCGCGCGTCGCAGGGGACTTGACGTTCTCATCGACATACATTTTCGAATTGTAGGGAAATACCTTCTTCTTTGCCAAACACTTGCGCGTGATCCTGTTTGCACGATGTGCGTACGCATTCCTTGCGTGCTCACTGAGCTCTCGGGAAGTAAGCTCCCCCCCCTCGTCAACGCCCCGGTTGAATGCCAAACACCAAACGGTAGCCTCTGGCGCATTCGAGACTGCTGTGAGAAGCGCTTCTACATCGCTATACTTTCTTTGCACTGTTGTCTGCAACTGAGCTCGAAGAGTGCCGATGTGTTCCATGTAGAGGTTCTTGAACCCTGCGGTGGTCTGCAGTTTCTCTGCTGCAGGGCCCGCTTCCTGCTCAACTTGATCATAGGGCGCCGGCAGCGTAGCTGCGTTTTGTAGGTTACCCCAATTCAAATAAGCTTGCACAAAGTCCGAAACATGTGGCGACTCGGCGCTACTTACGTCTTTCGTTCTCGCGGCGTCTCGCGCTTCCAATTTCGTTGCGAAGTGATGCACACTCGTAATATGCTCTTCGCGATCAACATTCTTGAGATACACTTGAAGATCTGTTTCGCCTGCTGCGCTCATGTGCGAAATAGCGCGAGCTCTAACGCGGGTACCATAATCACGCATCACCAGCCGCATCGGCGACAATTCCGCGGGTTTCGCTAGATGTGACTGATCTTGTTTCCCGTCACGGCACATCGCCTTCGCCGCATGGCACATACTATACAACTGCAGATTGTGATGGAACGTTTTCACAGCTCTCAATACTGGTCGCCCCAGCGATTGATTGGCCACCAACAAAAAGTATGAGGATACTTCCCGCACTAGACCAAGCAAACTTCTTTCGTACCGGACGAAATCAGTGGGATCTTCGTGCCCTTCTGTGTCAAGATACCAAATCTTGCTCCCATCGCTAGTCTCGTGTAGTGTCGGAAGCAACCACACGCCAACAGTCGTTGCGCCAAAATGGCCTTCGAACTCACGACTCTGCAACACTCCCCGCTCCCGACCAGCTAGGGCGGTAGCGAGCGTGCTTTTCCCAGCTCCTCTCTGACCTAGCAAACTAACAACCGCGATTCCACCTTTACTGAACTCTGGAGCCAGGCACCTTACAGAAGACTCAAAGTTTGGAGATATGCCGTAGATAAGATTGCTTGCAGGGGAATCCCCATCATGTCCGATACCTGTGGTCAGCGTTTGGGACGTGGGCTCAAACACGATGATGGGATCTGGAGTCAACCCGCGGAAACGATCGCAACTTCCATCAGCTAATGCAGAGTCCTGGTGTGCCATGTCGTGTGCAGCTGCTCCTGTTGATTCAAGTAGAATGAGCGCTGCAATTACGCCGCCGGTTAGAAACCACCACCACGAACTTCCAAAGCTCCTGACACGTTTCCGTCCGCAGAATAATACCAAGAACAACAAAAATACTGCAACGGCAAACGACCAGGAAGTTTCATGCCAGGACACAGACGGGAAAATTTGTGCTGTGAACTCCTTCCAGGATTCCGCGCGCGCCCACATCTGGTATCCAGCCAATTCCTGAACAAGTGTTTTGCGCAGCAGCTCGAAAAAATCCGGCAGGAGGGAACCATGCATAACCCGTTCCCCGAGAATCTCATCGAGATACGCTGCGCGACAGCGAGCATACGTGCCGCGGAGCTCTAAGACCTCTTTTTGTTGCAGCTCTGAACCGAAATTCATGCTCTCAAAATCTTCTCTAGATGTATACGCGAAGGTGTTGTAGCGGTGACGAAGGGCATCTTCTAGAGCTTGTGCAATTTGGACAATTTCCTCCTCCTCCAAATTGCGATTCTTCACAGACAGCAGTACTCGTCGATACATTTGGCGCGCCCTAGCCTTCAGGGCGCCTGCAAATTCCCCCGCTGCCTGATCCGCACTCTCCAAAAACGCTCGCTCTGCCAGCTTGATCACGACTGCTCTGGACGCAGCGGGCTCGCTTGGGAACTGAAAAGCCCGCGCAGCGCCAAAATCGTGCGTCGCTCTGCTTACAAGGCGGCAAGCCAGCTCGGCAAACCCCTCTACGGATAGCTCCACCCCGTACGTATCTTCGTGGTCAGTGATGGGAACCGAGTGATCAATTCGTAATTCTGGCTTAACAAAAAAATCAAGCCGGTACCCGGGCAAGACTCTCTCGTTACCAGGGGCCTCCGGGATCATTTTGCTATTAAGACGACACGGCGCAGGGCACTTTAGTGCGTGATACATGTCGCCCTCGAGACGGATTCGAAAACGTTTGGGGTATTCGAGGCTGTGCAGATGTTTTCTGATTTCGGACTCTTCGGACGCGCGGCTTCCCGTGGCGCCCACAATTGTTGAGCCAGCTAGAATGCATCTCCAATAAGCTCTCGACCAATTTTCTACTCGTGTTATTACAAGCCCCGCTCCGGATGCGTTACGCTGCTCCACGAGCCCTAGCTTGGAAGCATCGTCGACTTGATGTCTCTGCTCCTTTGAGATTCTTTCCTTGATTGTATGCATTTCGGCACGCGCCCGCAGTGTGAGACCCAAGGGAGCTCCCTCAGCATGCCCATCGTCGTCGCCTTCTGCGGGTGCTGCGAATTCGACGTCGAACTCTCGAGCCTCATCGTCATGGACTGGGTCCTGCGTCGTTACCTGTTCCGATCCTGTGTGTTTCGGGTTCGGCCGAGAGGCGTAGATGCAAGAACGTCCAGCAACAAACAAATAGCTTCCCGGATCGATTTCAATAGCTCGATCCCGCATATCGCCACCTTCCCCGTAAAGCGGCCCACTGACAATGTAAGGTCGATATGTAGCGTCGGGGTACCGAACATACGGATAAATATTCATCGTCATTTCCTCCTCTAACATATCATGGAAATCATCGCGTCCCGCGATCGCCAGTCGCAAATCAGAAAGGATTCGCTTTGCCATGTGCTTCAAATGGGTGTCGGACCTGATTCCAGACCCGCGAAAAAGCGCCGAGGATGGAGACAACGCGAGTGAGAGATCATCTTCTCCTTTGCCTTTCCACAAACCTGCCAAACCAGTCGCGCCGTCTTCCATGAGCGTCTTGGCATCTGAATGGCTCAAGGCGTTTTGCAACTCTGCAAGAATCCGTCGCATATCCTTAGCAGACTTGTGTTGAGATTCCCGTTTGGAGCCCTTCTCAGTTGGAGTCGCTCGCGCGGTGCCAGCATATCGTCCTCCATCTGTGCAGAGACTTTCGCCACGCTGCAGGAACCCGAAGAGAACATCAGAAGAGAGACGATCGGAGGAGGACAGCGGTGATCGTCCCATGATCCGCACTTCTCTATACCTCGCTGACCCTCCAAATCTTTTTTCCGCCCAACGAAAAACTCGGACGAACGCGTCGCTTGGAAAAAAGCCATCTAACTCTGTGAGTTCGGAGAGGACAGCGCTGTCGCCCGGCGTCTCATCATCTGCAGTTGTTAGTCGCGCGTGTGCGCAGGAGCCACCGGCCATCCTGTACAACTCAGTCCTTCTGATGCTCTTCGCGGCAATTTGATGCTGCTCTATCTGGAGCTTCTTGGTATCTGCTGTTGGATTGCTCGCGAGTCCTCGTAGCCCATCTTCTTTCGGAACCCCCGGCAACGTTGCACACTCACCGTAGAGAGTAAGCGCGTCCAGAAATGCCTCTTCGTGGTCTTTGGGGAGCCGCCTCCAACGAGACAGCGCTAAGCTTCCTCCTTGGAACGGGGCTGCGCTGCTCGTGTGAAATCCTTGAGCTTCCTGTTTTTGTTCAAGAGTTCCCTGTTTTTTCAGTGAAGCACTCATCGCTACTTCTGCACCACTCTGCCTCGATTTATCCCGGACCTCCTCTTGTCCTCCGGTGTTTTTTGTCACAACTACGTTCTCAAATCGCTTTAAGCTGAAGAATTGAAGAGACGCGTCAAGAAACCACTTAGCGACTTCCGTTAATTTGAAATTGCTGGCATCTTCCTCTCTGGACGCAGCCGGCACGCCGGAAGCGGAATCCCCACTGCGGCTGTGGTCCTCACTGGCGGCGATGTAGTCAGGGTGCTGTGCTGGTCCATGATCAAAAACGACGCTAGCCGCAGGGGCAGGATTAGAAGGCTTCTCGATCGCATCGCTTGACGATTTCTTCGCAGATGCGGGTCGTAGTGGACTCGAATCATTTGAGGTAATAAATCGTATGGAAGGAAATTCCTTTGTGCGCATGAGACGCCAAAACTCGCGACTCTGTGCGACATTATTCAAATTTTTGAGGTGCTCGGGCGTGGGCTGCACCCCAGCGTAAAGCAAACCGAGGCTGCGCGCATGATTTGCATACACTGCCAATGCAAAAAGCTCCCTGCGGGCGAGACTGATATTATCAGGCAAAATGTACAGAATCTGGTCGCTCAGGTAAATGAGAACAGAAAACAGAATCATGTGTAGCTGATGCTGCAGTTTCTGTGACAGATATGGGAACGTGATCATGCGCGCATGCAAAATGAGCAGACCTGTACTGTCTACGTCATCTTCACCAGGGGATACGGCTTCGTAAACTTGGAGCCATTCCGGAAAGTCGGACTTCTTCGGACCACGTCGCTGCCTGGCCAATTTGAAGACATGTTCTAGCGCTACCCAGAACTTCTGCGCTTCTATGGTTTCTTCGGCGCTAAAAACAGCAAGAGTGCGATAAGACGCCGCCTCGTCTCGCACCAGCTTTGTCCCTTGATGGGAACTATAATTCTCTTCCTCGCCACGACCAGGAACAGGACGTCGGGGAAATTCAACCTCCGGAGGAAAGGTATCGACTGACAAGGATAGGCAGCGATTTTCTTTGTCGCTAAGAGCAATCCGGAGGATTCTATGTCGACAACTATCTTCCAATCCGCCTCTGGCAAGATTCTCCATCATCACTCCGTCGAAAGGGAGGGTCAGACGCGTCTCCAGATTTTCTTCAGCGCACTTTGACTCTCGCGGTTTCGGTTTTGCATATCCAAAAGGGTCTGGATAAAAGAACGAATCGTATTCCTCCTGCTGCCTGTACTTTTTTACCGCCAACAAGTTCTCGAAGTTGTAGTCAATGTTCAGTGACGGATCCTCCAGCCCAAGGCCGCCACCCCAGACAGAAAACATGCAGGCCTTATCTACGTCCACATGGACATGAAAGCCTGGTTTTTCTGCACGATGCCCACGGGTGAGCATCTGCTGTTTCACGCTGCTGTTCCTCGTGTCATCATCTTCCGCTTGTTCTGCCGCTGCCACAGTCGCAGAAGAACAGAAGAGCCCAGCAAGCCCTCGAAACGAGGCAAAGAGATGAGCCACCAAATAATTAGTGTTACGCGCCATCCTTTCCGAAGACGAATATGAATAACTCAAACCAACTATGGAAATCAAATGGAGACCAAACCTGTATGGTTCTGGTATTTGGTAACCTGAGTTTGATCCTAAGGGTTCTCTTCTTGTTTGCCCTTATGATCCAACTCAGGTTACCAAATACCGGAACCATTCAAAATCCCTCCCGGCCAAAGCCAATGAAGAAAATAGAAATACAAGTAATATAAATATATAAGAAATAAAGGGATCCAGCGGAGTCGTTCTATCTCTAGTACTCTCTTTCTTTCAGCGTAGTTCTTACCTGGTTTTTAATTGTTTGAAAGACTAGTTGTACCGGTGGGAAGAAGCAGATAATCCAATCGAAAAAAAAAGTCAACGCAGATATTTGCGCGCGCACTGATTGATTGATTGATTGATTGATTGACTGGCTGATCCTGCTCTATTTGTTGTTCTATTAATATTATCATTGAAAAAATTATAACTAGACTCGTAGTGAGACGTGCATTCAAAATGCAAATATCGTTGCTCCCGGATGATTCATTATGAAGGTGATGACGTCCAGTAAAATTGTTACGGAGGTGCGGTGGAATAAAATAGTGTGTGCTGTGAACTAGACGGCGATGGATTAACCAAAGATTAAGAGCTAGCCCTGTACTAGAACATAAATGATCTACTTAATCAAACACATAGACTGAGAGAGGAGAGAGGAAGAGGGAGGTAGAGGAAAAAGATCAAAAACCGATACAGAGGACCGTGGTCAGGGAGGTGGAACAAAATGGATATGAATTATACGTACTCACACATTGACAAAAATAGATAATCGACACCAACTTTTACTATACTGCGGCATAGAATTCCGATGAATATTAAGATGGATGCGTGGTCGCACGCTGCACCTAACAAAACTCCAAAAGTTGCTGCGTCTTCGCACAAAGCGCTGCTCTCTCAAGTAAGAATTTTATCCAAGGAGTATAGAAGACTGATTTCCATGTCCTTTTTCATCAACTTGAGAAGCTTGCAGCTTGCTCCTCTTTCCTAAGTAAACATGCATCTGAGCTGCCGCCGTTCAGAGCGTTCAAAAGTCTGTTTTTTGCTTCATCAGTGTTCACAAATCCGAACAGAACCTTTCATGATCACGAGAAGCACAGCAACTCACGCTATAATGTCAAACCTCGATCATGTGATCGTAACCATAATTGTTCACCAAGGAGGACATGTGAGTGTACCGAATAGAGATCAACGAGAAAAGTCCTGGTATAATTTATCGATGCATCGGTAGCACTAGGCCAAGTTTTGATGTCCTCTGGCCTTCATGTTAATCCAAGCCCGGCAATAAATAACGGAAAGGGGAAGGGGAAAGCATGTCGAAATATGATATTGAAGTTCTTGCTCTTCTTGAACTATCAGTATTACAATTACTGGTACTAAAAAGACTATAACTTCTATATCAATATTATCTTCCCGAATTCGTACGTGGCCCTTGTGTATCAGTGTGGTGGTGGATCAAAAAAAAGAAAAAAAGGAAAATGAGTGTAGTTAAAAGCTATCGCGAGCTGTAGGGCCATTCATCTTCGCGCAAAGTTCTTTCAATCAAGATTTTATAGTTTTTAGTTCCGCTATATTGCGTATGTGATAAAATAAAAATATCACATGCAAATGGTACCTTATATTTGTTTTTCGATGCTTAAAAAATAAAATAACGTGTGCGTATAGTGAAATATTTATGTTTATCTAAATTAGTGCCCTCCGTGCCCAAAGCTACAATTAGCGAGGCCATTACGTAGTTGCACAGGGCCCCCGTCGGCCGTGTAACTAATACGAAAGAGATAGATCTTAACTATATTGGAGATGATTGTATCATAGATGTCTTTCATCAATGTGCGTCCTCGGAACGCTTTTTTACACGATCCAAAAATTTTAGCTACTCTTAAGGGAAAAAAACACGATTTCGATTTCAACACACTCGTTTGTAATACCCTTCGTAAGACCGTTCACGACCAACATAGACATCTTGTCTAGTAGTAGTAGCGTACCCAATCGTGCTGGGGTATAGTCAAGTGCATTAAAATCAAATGCATTAAAAAATAGACTTCAAGGAGGTGGCTGCTCTGTAATCATAACGAATAATGTAAAAATACTGTGCATGTATGAAGAGAAAGGAAGACGGACCACTCCAGTAGACGTCCGAAGCATCACCGGGAGGACAATTACGACTCCTTTTCGCGAGAAGCCTCTCTCTATATCATGGCGAGCACTTCTGCAGCTGCGTTCTCTGGTGCTTGCTGCGAAGAAGTAGGAGCAGAACTACGTACTAGACTTCTCTTTCTTCGTATGAATCCATTTAAGATTTGCCGCGACTAATTGTTGGAAAATTGGGTCGGAGAGAAAGCGCTGGGCAATCAATCCATTGTGAGTCATCATACTGCCCATCCAATCCATGGTCAGCTTCTTCCATTGCTGCAGTGCGGCTGCGGACGGGGAGGCGGAGGCGTTAGGCGTCGCGGAGGCTTCCTGCTCATCCTTTAGACTTTTGTATATTTGAAGACCGCCTTGAATAACGAGCGAAACTTGCTCTTGGAGCGCGATTTCAGTGTATGTGAGGGGTGATGACAGGTAGGCTGAGAGGCCGAGGCTAAACGTAATCTGCTTGCGGCCAAGTGTTGTGTAGAGCGCTATCAACAGGGCTGCCACGTTTCGCCAGTTCTTCTCTAGTTGCTCGTTCGCAATTTGGTCCCGCAAAAAGGAAGTAAAGGTATTCGCAACCGCAATGATCGTTGTACTGAACTGTCGATGAGCCATCAACCCATTGTGCACCGCGTTAGCATTCTCTCTTTTGAATTGTCCAAACAGTAAGGATTCTTGCTTTTTTCCTTCAAAGAACGTGCGCATGGCGTCGCGCTCTGCGTCAGTGAGAGCTTGCGGAAACAATGGCAAATTGGCGGAACTTCCCGAAGGATGAGCGTCCTGCTCTTTGGAGATAGCTATTAGCTGATCAAGCTCCATCTCTCCCGAGCCAGGGTCATCTTCGAACACGGCTCCCCGAGAAGCTGCAAGCAAAAAGTCGTAGTCAAGCGACTTCATGGTTTTCTCAAAGTGCGACAATTGCGATTGCTGCTCTACCTTGGCAAGGTCGTAATGATGGGGCGCGGGAAGAGAGAGCCGCCTACGTCGAGCCTCCATCTCCTGCTTTCTCATTATGAAATATCGGAAATCGATGTTCTCTGAGAGTGCATCCGCTATCTCGTTGTCGTCGCTGACTTTGCCCGCAGAAAAAGCGTAAAAGTTGTACGTCGCAGCAACTAACTTGGTCAGCCTCGCTACCTGGTCAAGATGCCTCATCGCGTCTCTTTGCATGGCTTCTTGGCACCGGGCATTCAATGCTAACGCGCTTAAGCTGCAATATTTTCTTTCGTTTGTTTTAGCCAATGCCTTTTGCTTAGCTTGCTCCGCTTTGTTAAGCTTAGAGACCATATCATTTTCAAAGGTCTTACGCTGCGAGAGCCACTCCGGCTCCTCGACAGATTGCTGTCCTTGTTCTTTTTCATCTTGAGTATCAGCTTCACCTTCAACATGCTCTTCCTCGATCGTCTCGAGAGGGACCCGCTTTGGGTTTGGCAGATAATCCTTCTGACGCGGACTCTGAAGCGGACCGACAGCGCGAGAACCAGCGAGCAAGCCCAGAATGAATGCCACCAAAAGGCGGATAGTCTTCTTCTTGCCAGTAGGAAACGTCATTTTTCTTAGTGCAATTACCAAAGGTGAGTTCTTATAGAAGTTCTTTGATTTTTCTGCGACGAGTGATAGTTAGTGTTGTAATTTTTGTACTTAGTATTTTCATAAGATTTCGTGTCTGTTCGACGTTGTCGCGGTTATTCAGTTTCAATTTCAGATGGAGTAATCAATGCTGAAACAATGCTTCTTGTCCCGAAATGAAAATCTGCTAGCGAAGACGTAGGTCTCGGCCTGACAGCTTGTAAATTGATTGATTGATCGACCGATTGATGGGATAATTAAAAATCACACAAACAACAAAGTTTGGTGTTCTTGAGTGTTTAATAGCAAGTTGACAGCTTGAAAGAGGAGAGAGGAAGACGTACTCGCACCTTCCCAAATAGATAATCGACACCAACTTTTACTCTACTGCGGAATAGAATTCCGATGAGTATTAAGATGGATGCGTGGTCGCACGCTGCACCTGACAAAACTCCAAAAGTTGCTGCGTCTTCGTACCAAGCGCTGCTCTCTCAAGTAAGAATTTTATCCAAAACCAAAGAGTATAGAAGACTGATTTCCATGTCCTTTTTCATGAACTTGAGAAGCTTGCAGCTTGCTCCTCTTATTTCTAAGTAAGCATGGATCTGAGCTGCCGCCTTTCAGAGCGTTCAAAAGTCTGTTTTTTGCTTCACAGTGTTCACAAATCCGAACAGAAACTTTCACGATCACGAGAAGCACAGCAACTCACGCTACAATGTCAAGTCTCGATCGATCGCGAGGAGGCTGAATTTTTTTTTCATGGCAAGAAACACAAGAAGGCATGATAGTTCTTTCATCGTCCTGAAATATTGTCTAAGAGGTGGGAAGAAGATCATGCTCTTCCAGATCATGACAGCCAGCTGTCTTGAGCGAAGTAGACAGCCGACTCTTCATCTCTTGACGACAGTTTATGGTGTGACCACCATTTGTAGCTTCTCGGTCTTTCTTCGGAGGAGTGGTTGTCAACGATGTTGACTCGTCGCGAAGCAAAGGGACTAGTAAAGATTTGTCGAGGAAAGTAAGAAGTTTTTGCGCCATATAGCGAGATTGTAGGGAATGGGTCGCGAACGCTGCTCCTTGATATGTTATCTCCCCGAGTCTAGGGCCCCAGTACGCGTCTCCCAACAGCCAGTCCAAACGACATTCCTCTACGAGGACCTGATCAGCTTGATCAGTCTTGCAGAGGGCTCTACGCTTGTTCGACAAGAATGCATGACCACGACCTATGTTAGACGAGGTGTTGCTGCAGCTAGGTGAGTTGTTCGTCCTCCTGGATGAGAAAAATACAGCTGCTTCACCGGGAACCTGCTCAACACCTTCCTCTGTTAGAAGGGTTTCTCCACGACTGATGCTTTCGGAAACGAGGCACATCCAAGACCAATGCTTCGATAATTCTCTGGCTAGCAACAGAACACGCCTTACGAGAGTACTATAATTCGTCTGGTGCTGCTGTTGAGGTTCTACGTGGTCTTGTGGACCTTCACCAGAGTTGTTCGCATCGCCTTTAGTATCGGCCTGGTGTAAGTTTGAGTCTGACCACAGAACTTGTTGTCCTGAAGGTTTTGTTAGAAGTGCATTTCGCAAATCCGCCACATCCAGAATCCTTCTCTTCCTTCCTGTTCTGGCGTATTTGGCCCAACTCTCATCGGACCAAACATGTATACAGCCTCTTTCGTCCACCCACATTTCGTCGGTCCAGTCCTTTAGGGTAGCGCCTACCGTTTTCCCGCCAATTGTATGCACTTTTACTTCGATTGGCTCTTCTTTACTCGAAGATGCAGAACTAGAACATGTGCCTGTACTTGTAGTTGAACTGCTTCCTTCGCCTGGCCTCTTTGTTGCCTTTGAGCCTGCAGATGCAGATGCAACTGAAGGCGCAGGCTCGTCGTTACCTTGCGAACAGTTCGGTTCAGGCCTTTCTGGTTCACGTTCTTCAAAGGCGCTCGCTGTCCTCATCTCCCCAGCGTCATCGGTCTTCGTCGTCTCCCATACAACATGCTGTCTACGACTTGAAGAAGTAGATGAAGTTGAAGATGCAGCTCCATCGCCTACTAGAGACGACAAGGAAATAGACGGACACGAAATGTAGAGGGGTTGTAGCACTGCCCCTGTCGGGACTTGAGAAAGCTGCCAACACTCTCGTTGCCAAGACTTCGGATTCGGGGGACTGCATGCTGTTGATACCGCTTGATAAATCTTGTTAAGCAGACGCTTTCGGTATGCTGAGGGTTTCGTACGACCTTGCGTCAGACTGGACAGCATTTTTTGATCAAAGACGGACACGCCAAGACTATCATGCCCGTTGCGCGGCTTGATGACGAACCCACGCGCAAAAATCCGCCTGGCGGCTTCACGCTGATGCTGTCGTTCGGTTGATAGGGTGTATGCTGATTGGTCTCCGATCTCTATCGGAGAACGTCCGTCAGCTCGCTGGTTCCATTCGGAACAATTGTTCTCATGCACATCGTCTACGCAGAATAAATCTAGCATCCTATCAATGAAGTCTCGCACTTTTGCCTTGTCTCCGAGACCAGTAACAGTACTGTTGGCTTTCTCACTTGCTGATCTTGAAGGCCCAAGAACATGGCGATCTTGTTCGTGTTCCTCTCTAGTTCCTATCAACCATGTAGGAAGGTGCAGAAGGCAAGCTCCGACGTGGTTATTCGGAGATGCTGCACTCCGTAAAACGCCTTCAAAATATTGCTGCGCACATTCCAAATCTTGGCTTGTTGACGACGATGATGACGACGTCAGCGCTCTGCTCCGCTCTTTTGCTTCCACCGGCGTCGTCGTCGTTCCGGAGAATCCTAGATCTCCGTGTAATTGATATTGAGGAAACTGCGCTCCTTTCAGTTGACAACAATGTTGCACTTGCTCGAACTTGTCCTCCATCCAAACGAGGTACCTTGGCTGCGTTCTCCATGTTGCTCGAATCCGTTCATCTAAAAGCGTGCGCCAGGTTGGCCCTTCTTCATGTGCTGCAGAGAAGCTGTCACTTCCCGAGGGAGATGATCTTGGCTCCCAACACTCTTGCCGAAACAAGGTCTCAGCATCGGAACCTAAGATGAGCTTCGATTTGCGGTCGCATCGATTTGTGGTCATTTTTTTCAAGTGGGACGATTAAGATTAAGATTAAGAGATTTCTGGCGTGCGACGCAGCGGCCAGGGCTCCAGAAGTCTGGGCTCAGAAAACATCAATGCGTTTAACCAAGAAAAAACAAATGATGGAAACCACAGACTAGCTACAAAGGAAACGAAGAGGAAACTGCTGGGTACAATAGATACAAGCTCATAGAACTGGACACTACGTAGAGGATATTGGTTGATTCAACAGCCTTGAAATCAGGGCCAGCATACCAGAAAAGTCCTGCCTGCACGAAAACAATTATCGTCTAATGTAACAGTGCTAATACGGTGCATCCAATGTAGTAGTCTTTTTCATACAGTCTTATTTTTGATGGAGTAGTGTGTGTTTTGTTTGCGAATTGTTCAGTACACTTCACCAAGCTGCTTAGTACTCGGCACTTTTGATCTTGTTAAATCTGACTCTTTTTGCGTGACCGCCGTTGCCACACCCAAGCGGAAACTTGACCTTTTTCTGTGTTCAAAGAAGCTCATGCCGAAGCAGTCAGAAGATCAGAGGTAGCCATTGACCCTTGTTGTCCTCAGGGAAAAGCTATGTATCGAAACGATCATGAAAAGCACGACAAGGTCTTGCTGCAACGAACTATAGCCGAAACGATGAGGATCATCTACAATGCTTGGGGGAACACTATGCTCAGGTGAAACATAGGGGATAGACTCAACATAGACTCAACCCTCGAAGGTGCCACCAGTGGACGAGGCATGAAATATTTTATGCCTCGTCCAGTGGTGGCACCTACGTCTCCTTCACTGCACTAGTCCTAGTGCAGCTATTCTTTGTGTGAGTTTTGTAAAAAAATCTCTTGCAGCATCCGTGTGTTATAGATGTTGGCTCAATCTCATGTCTGTGTCCCTGATGACACTGTCCGTAGTGCCCATAGAGACCAGTTATGTTCGCAATTCAGGGCCAGAGGCCAGGACACTAGCAATATCGGATATCTCCCTGTAGAGCGTGGTCATGAAAGTGTAAGTAAGTAGTACTCTTTAGCGAGTATCATTCGTCAATCAATCATCAAGCCTCTCGGTTTTCTTCCAACGTTCTTTAGATTTATGTATCATAAACATTCATTTGTTGTATAATGTCGTGTATTCCTTTGTAACATCGTTAAACTACAAAGGTTAATGAGTTACGTTCATCTAATTCTACCAAGAAGTAGACTTCATTAAATAACGGCGAAGATGATAGAAAGTAAGATCCCAGTAAAAAAATGAAGAAGATGCATAGTCGTGTCCTATGCGAGGGGACCAAGCTAGCATGATTCCTGACACACTCACCTCTTTGCTAAAAGTTAACAATAACAAGCCAATTAATCAAGTCAGTCCCCCTGTGTAACACCAACACCCATATCAAGCATGAAAAATGGCATCTCTTGTCATGTCATGTGTATGCCCCTGATAGGGCTTAATTCCAGACGGTTTTCCTATTTTGTGTACTTTCCCGACTTTGTACGTGGTCCTTATGTATCAGTATGGTAGTCCGCGGTCACGGTGGATCCAAAAAAAAAGTAAAAAGCTATCGCAAGCTGTTGGGTCATTCATGCTAGCGCAAAGTTTCAACAATCAAGATCTTAGTTCTTAGTCCCGCTATATTACGTATGTGATAATAAAAATGTAAATGCTACCGGTACCAATGCTGAAAATGTAGTGTATAGTGAAATCTTTCGTTCCGTCAGTGCCTAAAGCTAAAATTAGCTAGGCCAGTGGATAGTTGTAGACGGGCTTGGCCCGTGTAACTAATACGGAAGAGTGAGATCATCTTAACTATAGCAGAGACTTGTAAATCTGACATCTAAACTTACTAAATCATAGATGTCTTTCAATGTGCGTCGGAGCACTTTCTTATAAGTAGATACATACGAAGATTTCAATTTCGCACTCATTTATTGTAAAAATAACGTTCGTACTAAGTAGACCGTTCGCGGTCAACATAAGAGAGGGACTTTTTCACAAATGACGCGTTGTCTATGATTATAAATTCAAATGCATCAGAAAATAGCCTTGCCCGACGTAGCTCTACTCATACCGAACAATGCAATACTGTGCATCTATGACGAGAAAGGAAGACCACTCCAGTAGACGTCCGAAGCATCACCGGGAGGACAACTACGACTCCTTTTCGCGAGAAGCCTTGCTCTATATTACGACGGACACTTCTCCAGCTGCGTTCTGTGGTGCTTGCTGCAGAGAAGTAGGACCAGAACCACGAGACGACGTCTCTTTTTTCGTATTAATCCATTTGAGATTTGCCGCGACTAGTTGTTGGAAATTTGGGTCCGAGAGAAAGCGCAGGAAAGCCGTACTCTGATCCCACGGGAACTCAATAAGCCAATTCCTCCATAGCTGCAGTGCGGCTGCTGCGATACTCGCGTCAGGCGTCGCGGGTGCTCCCTGTCCCTGTCCATCCTTTAGACGTTGGTATATTTTAAGACCCTCTCGAATCGCTACCCAAACGACTTGCCCGTAGAGCGCCTTTTCATCTTCCGCGAAGGGGGACGAAAAATACTGTGAATCGCCGAGCTGATTCGTGAAGTGCTTCCGGCTGAGCGTCGTGTAGAGCGCAATCAACCTGGCTGCAGTGTTTCGCCACCTCTCATCTAGTGGTCCGTTCGCAATTTCGTCTCGCAAAAAGGAACTAAAGGCATTCGCCTTCGAAATTATCTCCTCATCGAACGCTTTCTTAGCCAGCAAACCCCTATCACTTGCCTGACGTTGCTGGCTCTTGAATTCTATAAAATGCTCGTGTCCTTGAAAGAACATGCGCATGGTGTCGCGAACGTCTTCACCATTTTTAGCTTTAGGGATCGCTTTCGGCAATATCGTTAGGTTATCATCGGACACGACCCCGCGAGAAGCAAGCAAATAGTCGTAGGCCAGCGACTTCATGGTTTTTTCAAAGTGCCACGATTGTCGCAACTCCGCAAAGAAGCACCTATCGGATGCAGCGGGAGAGAGCTGACTACTAGCTTCCTGCTTCTTCACCAAATAATATCGCAGATTGATATTCTCCTCGAATGCCTCCTCTATGTCCACATCCTCGCCGTCGAGGTCGAGAGAAGAAAAGGCGTAAAAGTTGTACGTGGCAGCAAGCAACTTCTGGACCATCTTCGATTGCTCCTCCCTGTCCGTAGCTAACTGGTTCATCATGGCCACCACATCGTTTATGGCAAAAGTGCTCTCCTTACGATATTTTAGAGGCGCGCTTTTTGCCTTATACGCTGCTTTCTTGCATTGCGAGAGGTAGTCCTTGTCCGAAATCTGCATCTTCTGTGTGAACGCCGCATCAGTTTGTTGTTCTAGTACCTCAGCATCACCTTCATCATGGACGTGGCCTTCTTCGATTGTGTTCTGAGGATCTTCCTCAATTGGCTCGAGAGGCGCCTGCTTTGGCAGGAAATCCCTCCAACGCGGACCGACAGCGCGAGAACCAGCGAGCGAGCCCAGAATGGATGCCACCAAAAGGCGGATAGTCGTCTTCTTACCAGTAGAGTGCATCATTTTTTCTTAGTGCAATTACCAAAGGTGGGCTCTTAATTGAAGTTCTTTGATTGCTACGAAGTGCTAGTTAGTGTTGTAATTCTTGTTCTGAGTACTAGCCTCCACAAGCTTCGCCCTACAGTCTTAGTACTAGCCTCTTAGTATTTTCATAAGATTTCGTGTCTGTCCGACGTTGTCGTGGTTATTCAGTTTCAGATGGAGTAATGATAAAAAGATGCTTCTTCTCCTTGATCAGATCTACCTAGTACGAAGTGAAAATCTGTTAGCGAAGACGTAATTCTCGGACTGACAGCTTGATGCAAATTGATTGAGTGATCGATCGAGTGATGAGATTATCAAATGATTACGCAAACAATACCTTTTTGTGTTCTTGAGTGTATGATAGGAAGCTGGTGATGGTCGTGGTTTGCTCAATGTTCATCTTGCGAAAATACACAGGTATCGTGCACACAGTTCTTGTCAAGGCAAAAGCTAACATCGACTGGAAAGAGGTTGGATAAAAGTGAGAAATCGAAGATCGAGACCATTATGATCTGTGTGAGTACAATCCGAAACTGAACTATCTTGATCTTTCTATCTATCATATAGTGTGCGGATCTTTTCTTCGTTCTCGCTGTACTAAAACTGTCGTAGAAGGATGAACATGAAAAATATCTTGATCATCTGATCGTTATTCCGTGTAAAGGTAAAAGATGATGAACCAACTGTATCTCGAATGAACTGTATCTTGAATGATGCTGGATTCGGATGATCTTGATCATATTCTCAGTTTCAGGATCCGTGATAACGTTAAGATCCAGGCACAGCTACAGGCGTTTCCCTCCATGGGAGCTTTTACTGTAGGCCTAGGGGTCATTTTCTTCAAGTTTCAGGGTAACGTACAGCAGATTGGAGTACCAAACTCTCCTCGCCATCAAAGTTAAGGCATCAACATTACGATCTAGTGGTCAGAAGTGCCAGGTAGCTCGCACACTTGCGTTTACAAAGCAGAATCAATATCACGAACATTCAGTTTCAAAATATGAGTTTTTTTCTAGGAGGTACAAAATTGATCTTTCATTCCCGTACCCGTCAACATGCTGTTTCGAAAAAAAAAACCTTTCACGCTGCACGTCCAAATGGCCCTGGCTGGTCCCAAAAAGCGATAACGAAAAATCAAAATGCTAGCCAATGGACCTAGATGATAATCTCTTTTTTTTGTCAACATTCTTGCACTGCCACTTCCTTGCTGTCCCTTGGCATATTTTTAATCCTATTATCGTAATTGCAGTAACTCTTGCCCGTAGTCTCATCGTCCTGTGGAAAAGGCATGAGCAAAGTCATTTCTTTCTCCGTATCAAAAACCTATGAAAGATCTCAGAGATTGACATGATTCGTGCGTTTGATCATCTACTTCGAAATTTCTCCAATCATAACTTGATGAACCAAGAAAGTGAAAGCGATAGTAATGCATAGCGAAAATAAGACACATCATGTAAATTGTTCTTACTTCTGTAGTCTTCTAACGACGACCAGTAGTCAAGAGATCGAAAGATTCCAAGTGCAGGGGAAACAAATAATGCAGATACCAGTAGCAGTAGGCTTCTTCCAAGTCTCTCCTTCATCTTCACGAACTGCCATTATATGGCGTCTAATAAACGGCATTTTCTGAGACACTAGTACCAGTAAAAGAAAGGTCAATCGCTATTGTTGGAGTTGTAGGCAACACTCTCAAAAAACTCATTGTCAAAAAAAAATATGTTCTTGCAAAAAACTTGTGGAGTGTGTCGCATGTCAATAGACCGTACGTCTTGACATCGAGTAGAATATTATAAGAATCTTACAAGCATCATGTGGTCCGTATTTTCAATCGTGAAGAAGAGTCGCCATCCGCCTTATATTTCGTCTCCCTCGATAGAGTTGTACATGCCCAGCAAGTTTCTATCCGCAACCCTGGAGTATTCGTCCTCCGTTCCTTCGTCCCTCCTGTTCATCTGCAAAGAAATATATAATAATAATAATTTACCCAGTCGTGGGGTACATGCAGTTATGGGAGGGGTTGTCTGGTTGCAGGGAGATGGGGTTACCTTGTTCTTTCACCTTTCATCTTTCATTTGCATGCGTATTATAATGTGAATATCAAATAATGCCATTGACTCCCGTCGCGCATCCGGATGCTTTACTTATTCGAAAAAAAAAGTTGTCATTTTTCTTCCTGTTCTTCTTGTGGCAGTTCCAATTTTGTTCCATTTCTGATCTCCGTGATCATCTTCCACTTCCAGAGCTCGAAACCGTAGTGTAGCAATAGGTAAATGTCCCCCTCCACCTCCGTCAGAAGTTTTCGCTCTCTGAGAGACAGCGGGACTAGGCCAAGCACGTCATACTCGATCCGTTTCTTGCCGAGTATCCTGTAAATCGTCAAACTAGTCACGGCTCGCTTAGCGAGATCGGTGTTATACAAAGGCGGAAATAAAGTCCTCCACCAAGTTGCATTAGCAGAATCCTCAGCTTGAGTAGTTCGAGGACTTTGAAACGACGACATAGGAGGTTGAGCTTCACCTGCGAGGAGCGGTTCTCTATAAGGTGCGCTAGCTTGCCCACCGTCTTTGCATCGTCGTACCCTACTTGGTCTATTTCCACCCGGTGCGCTTTCCACGCGACATTGTTGCACTTTATCTTCATCAGTTGTAGGCCCATAGAAGTATGCTTCTGTACTTTCTTCATTCGAAGATGTAGCAGTGATTTGCAAGGCTTTTCGTTCAGAGTAAAGTTTTTTAGCGGCTTTTTTCAGAATGTCCGCCAGGTCAGCTTGCTGCTTTTTTTCCAACTCCTGCTCCAAGCCTCGAACAAACACTGCAATGCTCTCCCGCTCCTCCTCCAAGACGCGTCGTCTCAACACCTCAACTGAAGATGGAGCGACTATTGATGAAGACTGTCTTGACTTTATTGCAGACCTTGTTGTAGTCCTCGTGGGTTCCAGGCTACAGCCAGTCTTGTTCCAGGCTACAGCCAATAGAGCTGCGGTTTTTGCATCTGGCGCTTTACGAGAGGCTCGCAGTTTTTCGACAGACTTCTCAGCTTGTCTACCTCCTAGACCTGAATGAAAATCATGTACTTGTTCTTGTCCATCCAGGAATACCTTTTTCTCGTCCGCACCGCCATCTACAACTACAGTAGGCATATGCTTTTCCACATATTTTTTCCAACCCTTCACTCCATAATCCCGATGTTTTAGCAAATCAGTTTCGCGCTTTACTGCATATCGCAACTGCTCCTCTTCTCCTCCAGGAATTAGAAAGTGAGAACTGAAGAGGATCTCATGCGACCTAAGATTTTTGATCATTTGTTTCTAGTTCATCTACATCAAGTAACTAAGTAATTCTAACATCAGAATAAAGCGTCAGCCTTAAGAAGAGCTTGAAGTTGAGGGTGTGGCTTTCATCTTCGAGGATTAGTTTCTCGTAGAGAAATAGTGTGTCCATCAGTCTGTTTTTGTATAGTCGAGGTATCATTGCGCACTGTTGCGCATGAAAATCCCAGAATTTTGCTCGAAACATCTCCACTGTAGGCAATCCCAATTCAAGTGTTTTCAATTCCTCTTCCTTACGCATCACTTGCCTCAAGGGACCTGACTTGTCAAGACGTCTTCGCGTCGAAATCTCGCTCTTTGCTCCACTACTAGGGACAACTTGGCGTTGTTTCTCCTGCTGAAGGTACTTGTGGCTTGATGTGAAGATGGAAGTACGTTGCGGTGCTGTGGTGGCACTTTGCGATTGCGAGAGAGAAAAAGGTGTACTGGACTGAATATTCCTAGGAGTGACACGATGCATACTAGAGGTTTCTGCAGTATCAATTTTGAGTTCTCGCAATAGACGCGTCAGCTCTGCCTGCTCTTGGAGAGGTTGTGGAGCATCAGGGTCAGGTGCCATCAACTTGTGAACCAAAGCGAGCCCAAAAGCTGTCCCAAAGTATTTCTCGTAAACGCCGAGGAGATGGGGCAGAACCGCGTCCGTGCCTCTCCTAATCATGGTCATCACTGCCTCTGCTATCTCTGCAGCCTCGTCGCTGCGAAGATCTCCTTGGTCGTGGTCGTTGTCGTGGTCAGCTTCATCTGAGTCGGAGCGTGGGTCTTCTGCTTTATCTTCGGGAATGCTAGGGAGCTTGCTGTTTCTGGTGGTGTATGATCTTCGTGGTCGGCGGATGCCTTGATGTCCTCCCACGACAGAAACGGCCGATGATGGGCCGACTGCCACAGCGAAAGCGACTGAGATTGCCGCAATTATGTTCGCGGTAGAGAGAGGGAAACGCACCATGTTTGTGATTCTGGTGCGGTTGTAACTATACAACTACGTATTCGACTACTTCTCTTTGAAGTTCTTTGTGAAAGCTCTTGTTGATAAGGTACTAGAATTAGTGCTGGTACTACAATAGCAAGAGTTCTTTTCTAAAAAGCAAGATGAAGTTGCATCAATTTGTTTCATCTACTTCGTAGTTGTCATCACTCAAAAGTGCTTACGATGATGAACGAATGATCGGAGAAGAGCGTGATCAGAGAACAAGAGCGGTTTCCAGAAGAACTAAATCAATCATTATTCTGCTGGGATATGTTGACCATCATGATCATTATCGTGATAGCGAAAAACAGATGGAGGTGATATTAGATCGATTGCTGTCTTCATCACTTCGTCCACGTTAGAAAGGAGGTTGTTTTTCATTTTGCACCAATGACTCTACTAACGCGGATAGAACACAGGTAGTAGCCTTTCCAGCACCACAAAGGCTCCCCGTCCAACTCCATGGGAGGTTTAGCTTATTCCAATTCAAATAAGAACAATAACATCCCAACTTATAAAGTCTGTCTTCACGCTTCATCTTGTTCATGTGCTGTTACGCCACCCTTGTTAGTGAAGAGGATTGCTGGTCGGTCCTCTATTAACTTCATGATCATCTAGCCTTACAAGTAAAAAGCAATTGAAATTATGACACGAATCATTCATGTACCCCCACCGGTCGTCAATCAATCAAGCAGTTAGTTTGCCTCCGCAGGGCACCTTTTTTTTTTGTAGTCCGAGAACGCCGAAAGGGTGATCCCAGTGTTGTCCGGTGTACCTGCCTTTTTTTTAGTGAATGATAATCCAACCAATAGAGGACAAGAAGAGTGCTACGCTATAAGATCCTGGATCTTCCAGTGTATATAGTTCGGCTCAAGTTCAAGTTCAACTTTAATATTGAGAAAAAAAGCTAACCTTTGTTCTTAACATTCATCTCCTTCGTTAGTACGAAGGTTCTAGTCGTTGTTCGTCTATCAACTCTAAGATCCCCCATCCTTGCCCTTCTTCACCCACCAGTCATATTTATAACCATATCCATAAGCTACTTCTTGTTCGTTTTATTTAATATTCCCCGTACAAAAAATACGATGGAAAAGACACATTACGAAACATGTGTCCTGTCATGGTACGTCTGATGTAGATATTGACGTCGGAGACCCGGTTGATGATGCCTCAGCAAACGCATCTTTTTCCTCATTCACGAAGACCATAAAACGAGAAAAACAAGTCTTAGTCTTTAGCTTTACCACTAACATAATTGTGAATGCAATGGCTACCATCAGTTAGTTCTGGGAAATCATTACCCCCTGACATAATGACCACCGAGAAAAGACCCCTGCTACACAACTAGATACATACATCATATAGTAATAGTCGCGTAAAAATTCAAGTTAATTAATAACAAGTAAGTCATCTGCCAAGAAATGAGTCATCTAAGCGGTAGCATTGGCCAGTGAAGAATCTACGTCTTCGACTACTAATGCTGTAATTAATTAGAAAAACTTCAAGTACTTGGCCGTAAAAAAACCAGCATGACATTCATTGCAAACATAAAAGCATCTTGATATTAGTAAATATGTTAGACGAATCACACGTTTAGTCAATTTTTCCAAACAAATTTCAATCACCGATAAAGCCTGGAACAAGCATCAATGTAAAAAAAACTCCATCATCCAAAACATAGGAAATACCTCAATTTATCATGATCGCCCTCTAATGTACGAACACGAAAAGACTTGATCGATGTCAAGAAGAACAAGTTGTTAGTTCATCTGCAGTCGATAAAGAATCAAATCACCCGTACGTTAGAAATATACAGTCAAATAACAAGTCCCATCAATACGATTATAGCAGGTTAATCCGCTTCGTGATTTGGTCGCGCACTTCGAGTGCTTCAGGACTGTAGTTGTTCCACCTTGCCGCGTCCTCTTCGACGACGTGGCTTTTCCCCTATTTCGTTCGCCTTCGTCCCCTTATCTATTATTCTTTCGTCCTCTGACACGGCGGAATGAACCTCTATGCTTTTCCCCGCGCGTGGTCGGTCGTTTCTTTGGGACCGCCGACGGGCCGCGGCTCCATCGCTTTCTGTATCTTGGCGTTGAGGCTTAGAGAAAGAAAATAGAGATCATAGAGTTCTTACCGATCCTAGAAGAAGTTATTCATATCCTGATCTTCCCCTCACAACTAAGTACATGAATATTCGGATTCGGTGTCACAATGTAGCTTTAACTCAGAAAAGTAAGCGATTGCGTCCTCTTTCTATAAGTATATATGCTCCAGGGACGAGGGAGGCCCCCCGTGTGGATGAATCTTGGGCGCAGCACAGTGGTGGAAGAGCGACGAGAGCAGAACGAGGAACGAGAGCAGAACGAGGGACCGACGAGAGAAAGACGAGGGGACGAGAGCAGAACGAGGGACGGGGCCAGAGTCTCCTGGCGGCTCTCCGCGTGCACCTACCCCACAGGCGTCCCGGGTCTTGGCCTCTCTCTGTCAGGGGCACGGCCTCCAGGAGAAGAAGGCCGCCGAAGGCGGCCTCGGTTGCGAGGCCTGGCCCCTTTGGCGCTCGTCCCCCCTCAGCCGCCACCAAACCAACGCCCGGGGGGACGAAGACCAAAGGCGAAGAAGAGGGGGGGGAAGGCTAGCCCGCCTGGGTTCTGTCGCTTACCTGCAGCACGGCGAAAGGGGTCAAGCTTCGCCACCTGCGGCCCCCAGAGGCCTTCCACCTCCCAAAAACAAGCTAGCTCCCCCCGTGAGGAGCCCGCACGCGGGAGGTCTGTAGGGTACACGCAACACGGCAAGGGGGTCCACTCTTGCCACCTTTGCCAGGTCTCGGTCTGCAGGGGGGTCCAGCCCTGCCACCTCCTCCCGGTCCATAGGGTACACGCAACACAGCAAGGGGGTCCAGCCTTGCCACCTTTGCCAGGTCTGTCGAGTTCACGCAACACGGCAAGGGGGTCCAGCATTGCCACCTTCGCCAGGTCTGAGGGTACACGAAACACGCCAAGGGAGTCCAGCCTTGCCACCTTTGCCACATTCGGAAGCCTTCCCACCCCGCCCTGCAGTGCTTCAATGGCCTCCGGGGTGGTGGCGCTGTACCTGTAGGGTCCAGACAAGAAGCGGGAAAGGGTCAGAGATGGGCGCTCCGAGGCCTTCCCGCCCGGCAGCCCATCGAAAAAAGGGCCCGGGGCTCGAGGCACCCCCTCAAGAAGTTAGATCGGGAGGGCCTTCAGCCCCGAGCCCTGGAACATATATGTAGTGTGGAGTTTGATTCTCCTTCGACAACTACGAGACTGAGTCTCCGTGTACTAGGTGTAGCAGTAGTTCTTCTACTTACTTGTTCGTTGGAAAACTCCAAATTTATGGGAGAGAAGATCCTTAAGAGAATGTCTTCGCCTTGCGGTTGCTCCGTTACTATCTCCGCTCTTGCTTTATTGATCTTACGCTGGCTTTTCTCAACGTTCAGCTGTAGCGCCAAGTCTTTCCACGTGTCCACGTCGCATTCGTCGTGGCCAATGCCAATCGCGTTTTTCATTTCCTTCCAAGTAGCCATAAAAATGTCTTTCGAGGCTTTTAGAACTATGTCATTTCCTATAAAAAAAAAACTCGATCGAATCTGGTGTCCTGGTATAAAGAAGAAAAAGAGGTGTCAGCCCCCGCAGAGGCAGACACCAAGATATGATAGATTTAAGAGAATCAGTAGATGGAATTTATCGTGTTGATCGAGTTGCTTAACTTCTTCTCTTGTTGTGATTCCTCATCGGCGGCTGGCATATGGTGGGAACCAGTCTTGTTCCCTGTAAGGTCGACGCAGAACCGTGCAAGAACCCTGGCAGTGATGAACAGGGTAAAGGCTCTCTTCAATACAGCGACGTGATCAGATTGAGGACGGTCTCGTCGACCCATGTGGAACAGTTTTTTCGCAAAAGCTTCGAATTTCGTAAGAATCCGGTGGAAGCGTTCTTAGACGTTGGACCATCCATGCTCGATAAAAATCCATCTTCTACTAAAAATACGCATGATGGTGCATCCTGATGAAACTGTTCTGGTGCAGCTCTTGTGCTTGTGCTACAAGCACAGTGGAACAGCATGAACATCTAGTATCTTACAGCTGGTGGATTCTTGTTTGCATCTTGTATCTGGTATCTTACAGATGCTGGCCTGCTAGAGCTACGCCTACTAGAGACTAAGATGGATTATTATTCATGCGAGTCATAATCGACCTCC